TTTAATAAAAAAATAACTCAGCTTCCTGCAATTACTTAAAGTTACTCAAAAAAGGCTTGGAAGTTGGAACTTTAGTAGGATTTAATCAAACGTTCAAATTCAATACAAAAATACAAAAAAGAGTACACAAAAAAATTTATAACTCCAAAACTAAGAAAAATCGCGGAACATACATGGGGTATTTTCGGGAACCCCTAGGTGCGAGGAATTAAAAAAAAATTGTGGATGTCACTAGTTGGACCACTCTCTATAAACAAAATAAAATATGGTGCAACAAAGTTCGCGGGGTAGACTGGTATAAATTATAATAAAGTAACGTAGCACGTGTAGCTGTTTGTTTTTCTAGATCCAGTGTGAATCGGTCCTGTGAATGCTAAAGGAATAATCCTAGGCCCAAAGTAAAGCCGCGATGACACGGGCCGAGTTACAAGTTACAAGCCAGCGAGTTCGCTAGCAGCTTGTAAACTCGCCGCGTATTGATAAGGATAATGATATAATAGGTCGTATAGTAGTATTGTTGTGTCGTCTATGTAAGTAAGAAGAATTTTAGTTTTTATTTACAGAGATAAGAAAATATTTAGTTTAAAAAATATATCTTAGGTTTTAAGTTACGTAATGGTAATACACATGTAAATGTTATTATCCGCAATCTTGTCGTTTAATTTGACTGTACATTTTGCGACCTAGACATTGTAAGATTTGGTCAAATAAAGATGTAGACATTTTACTATCTAGAGATTATTTCATTGGGTTAAATAAATATCTAATCATTTTGCGATCTTAGGCATTATGCGATGTAGTCAATTGAAGATCGAGACGTAATTATTTGCAGTCATTAATAGGGGTTACTCACACTGCGACTAGATAATCTGAGGTCAACCCATACATTGAACACAGCATTAACCTTATCTCATTAAGTACCTTAAACAAAAACTGTGTAATAAATGTAGATCAACATCGGCCTTTACGGCGGTTGCGGCGGTCCGGCGCGGCGCGTGCCTTTGAAGTAGCGCGTCGTAATAAATATACCGTACCGTATAAAAAAGTTATCTTATATTATTGTTATGGATTGATTTTGTTTTTAATATGCTGTGATTGTGAAGCAATCCTCTTAAAATAAAATTTAATTTTCTTTTTTATACATATGTTGGTAAAGTAAAAGTTTGTCAACTTTAATTTTTTTAACGTGTTTGTTAACAAATTTCAAATTATCTAGCACAATTTAACACTAAGTTAATACTTTAAAAGACTTATTATAATATCTTAGATAATAATAATCGACGTTATTGTAAGTCATCGGAAAGCCCCGCACACCGCGCTGCGGCATTGGCTTTGCAGCTAACGAACTTTTCGAGTTATCGCTCACTATCCGCTTATTGTATTGTATAATCTCTCCCTTGCGCGCAATGTTATTTTTACTAAAGAACGTATTTAAATACCCACTTATCTACATTGACATATTAAGTATTTATTTCTTGAAATTATTATAGAAAGTGCAACCCTTTAAAAGCATAGTAATATTATTTTTACGACGCATTCTATATGCAGTTTTGTTTTATGATCATTATTTTATGAAGGTATAAAATTTTCCTCTGAATAGGTACAAAATGTTATATTATATTAGGCAAACTCGCAGCAATATTTGTAGCTCATTTTTGTGTTAATAAAAGATTGACAAACAAGCGTATGGCTCACCTGATGGTAAGCGGCTACTATAGCCCAAAGAGGATTGTGATTGTGTGTGTGATACCAAAAATATCACTCGCATCGTTGCCTATCATCAACATCAGCCTATTAATGTCCCCACTGCTTGGGCAAAGGCCTTCCCTATGGATGGAACAGGGAGATTGGGTCATGACCCACCACGCGGGTCTAGTGCGTATTGGTGGGTGCTAACGACTGCAGATGCAGCCGGGACCAACGGCTTAACGTGCCTTACAAAGCACGGAGGAGCTCGAGGTAGTAATTTTTGGTGACCCATCCAATGACCGACCACTGCGAAAGTTGCTTAAGTTCAACGATCTCAGCCGAATGCGCTAACCACTTGCGCCATCGAGCTCGTTGCCTATACTGATTCCCAATCCCCTACTCCGCGTAACCATGACTGCAATAAAACACCACTAAAAGGTAGTATTATTTTACTGTGATCTCTTGAAAGGCAGAGGTGACCTTCCCAAATGAACGGATAATCCGGTATGCTCTACCTCTGTTATTAACCTTACACTTACTAGAAGTTAAAAGCGTTAAAATAATTTAGGAAGGCCATAGTTTAAGGAAATACACGATTGCATTATTATTTTTGTCGATGATATTACTGAAATCTATGTCTGTAAGTACCTACCTACTTATTTCCTTTCAAACTTTTACGAAACAGATAATCCAGCAAGATATAATGCCACGATGTAGGTAGATTTAAAAAACCACGTGAAGTTATTAATTATGATATCTAATGCAATCATTACGTCTTTGTCATGCACCCGAAAGCTGTGGTGGTCGGGGTGGCGGCGTTACATCAATCGAACTTTTCAAGTTATTGCTCATTATCCGTTCCTTGTATTGTTTAATCTATCCCTTGTAGTGAGCGCGGCATTATTTTAATTAAAGAAAGTACTTACCTCTTATCTATATTGGTATTTTAAGTAGGTCTTCATTACTTGATGAATGATTACTACCTATAGAATAGACTGTGTAACCCTTTAAAACCAAAGTAACAATAATTCCAGCTTAAAATTATTTATTATTTTATAGCTTTCTTTTATGACCCATATTTTTATAATTTTAAACTGTTATTTTAAATAGATATGATAATGTAAAATTATATTTATAGGAAATTCGTGTGAAGCTTTTATCTTAATTATTTTCTGTAGATAATTTATGTTCTAACCAAACAAAAAAAAACTTCCTACTCAAGTCAGAATATCTTTCGAAAACGTATGCATAATTCAAGAGTATTTAAGTAAATAGTAGACATTTCAAAATACAGTTTAGATGTTGATTATCCACAAGAAAATCAATTCAACAAAAGCTTTCACTGATTTCCTAAAATATATAATAGAACACTTCATACCTATTAAGAGGAAGTTTTAAATATTTACATAATATAATAATCATAAAACAAAGCTGGAAATAGAATGTGCATACCCTTTAAAAGCGTTGTAAATAGTAGATTATTAACCAAGGGGATAAAGCAGTGTCTTCTGTCGCGGTTGACGATTTAAAATTGCGTGCGTAACGAATGACTCGAGGTTTACTCCCGAGCGTAGCGAGGGTGTTAAAAACTTATACGAACGAAGCGAGGGATTTAAGACGAGTCCTGAGTGTAGCGAGGGATTTAAGTTCACCCAAGACAAAGACAGCTTAATCGCGGAGGAAAATACTCTACTTTTCGAACCATTTGCGAAAAAATTAACACAATAATAATATGAGATAAGCATTTATTAAAAATAATGACAATTAAAAGTAAAAGTTAACATTCGAAACATTGGTCCAATTAAATACGGCCTCGTCGGTTTTCGTAATTTTATTTAATAATCATAACTGCACAATAAATGCATTAAATATTCATAAATATTCCTTTTTCAAAAAGATGCATAATCCTTTATATACAAACTCAATGGTGTAAACACAGATGCAGTTCAGTATGAATTTCGGTAAGTATTCCATATTGAAATCACATTCTTCCCCTAGAGGATGAATGAAATTCAGTACAATTTTCTTTCCCTGTTTCTAACAGATTAAAATTGACTATTGTTATGTTCCCTTTTTGTGGCATAGAAGGTCACTTTTTTGAGCAATTGTTACTAAAAATTATATTCTAATGCTTTTAAAGGGTTCTAATTTCTTTCATCATTCAAAGGTATAAATACTTACAATAACAATGTAGATTAGTGTGTACTTAAATACCTTTTCCAATAATAACAATGCGCGCAAAGGAGGGATTAATTTAAACAATACAATAAACGGATAATGAGCAGTTAGTTGATGCAGCACCGATGCATACCCGCCCGCTGTGGCCCTCAGGTACAGGTATCATATCATGAGCACTTACACAACTTAAAAAAATCGATTGATGTAACGCCACCGCCCACTAGCCTCGGCTTTCAGGTGCATGACAAATATTTCCTTATTAGCAATATCTTAATTAGTACACGTGGTCATTAAAATCTTTCATATGGTGGCATTAAACCTTGCAGGATTTTTTGAAAATTGGTTACTTTAGTACACGTGGTCATTAAAATCTTTCATAATAGTGGCATTAAATCTTGCAGGACTTTTTGAAAATTGGTAACTAACACTTAAATAAATTATCTCATTAAGTACAGCTTTTGTAATTAAGTAAGTAGGTAGATGCACAGATATCGGTAATATTGTCGACAAGAATATAGGTAATAATGTACTAACTTAAACTATAATCTTCCTAATTTTGAACTAATGTAACTTTAGTGTTTTATATGTTGCTGCACGTTTGCTTAATATTAAACCATCTTTTAGAAGCACTAGATGTTACAAACCGAATCTCAGAAACTTTGTCAAGTTGAATTGAACAAAATATTATGTTTTATATTTTTAATTTCCATTTGATGTCTAATTAAAATTTGTTTTCTTTATTATTTTCTATTGTTTTTGTCACTACATAATCTTATAATACTGAGTGGGTAGGTATAATACATAGGTATTATAATAACGGTTGAGGATCAGATAAATAGAGATTTAAAGAATAAATTTTAAGAGGATTGAAGAAGATTTGTAGAAACGTACTCCTCCGCTTAACAAAAAGTTAAGCGGAGGAGTACCACCGAGCAAAATGACTGTTATTTAGGACTTTTCATTAATTTATCGATATGGTTTTTGGATTTTTATAATTAAATAAAGTAAAAAAAAATGTCGGATGACTATTGAATAGGTAAAATCTATTTATTTTCCTCTAAAAAAACAATTAAATGAAAACTTCATAGTAACTCTATTTATATAATCGGTTTTTGATATTGTTAGTTACTTACCGAACTCTACTGCTAGTCACACCACACCTCTCAGAAACTGTCTTGACAATTTCATCCACCAATTTCGGATTCAAGCGCTTTTTTGTCGGCTTATCAGTAAAAGCACGCGATGGTTTTCCAGACAACGAATGTGTGGCTAATATTCTGGAAATTATAACAAAAAATACAATACACCTAGTAAATTAAATAAAGATAACAGAAATGGTTACAACAAAAGATCCACTCAGTTCAGCGGTTCATGCAGATCCAAGCGGAATTTATACAAATAAACAAAATCTGTAGGTTTGTAAGTCTAGCAGTTAAATGCTTCTTAATGAAAATACATATTAGGGATAATTTAAATAATCAGCGTAATTTAACCAGCTATTTTACATAATCAACGTAAACTGCAATGGAGACGTAAAGAAACTTGATATGGAATTGTACTAATCCGAACAAAAAACAAATATGAACTTTTAATATTTTTCTATAGTACATTATATCAATAATAAATTACAATCCGAAAAGTATCGAATAAGTTTAAAAAATTAAGATAAGCGAGTACTGGAAAATCAAAATTAATTTATCTAATTCGGTATGAAACCGCTCTAGTACTAAATTATAAAAAGTCGTTTAACCAAATACCAAAACTGTATTGCTATCTTCTATAGCCATATCATTTTCTTGGTTGCATTGTATTCTCAGAAGATTTTATTATTAAAAATTGCAGATAAATCGTAATTTGACACATTAGCGTTCCTACTAAATTTTGATGTTCGATTAATATTATTATTAGCGAGTAGTATTTATTCTACAGTATATTTCTTTACAACGAATTTTACTTACGTAAACCTTCATTAAGCAAAGAATAAATGATAGACTCATGAGCACTACCACTGAATCTTTATAAGTAAACGCATAATGTTGGACATAATATTTAGGCTGATTTACTCGTAAGCTTTATTGTAAATTTAAATAAAATTGAAAATTTCAAATTACTAACTATAATTACTACGTCCCCTAAAAACTACCATGCGTAAGTCAATTTAAAATTATAAGTTAGATTAAGATTACTTGACAATTAAAGTTTGGCATCTCTCTTTGGGCAATTCTTTACTACAAGAAAGAAAGAGACAAAAGTAAGCACCGCCCACTACCCCCGTACCCTCTCCCTGTCTCCTTTACATACTCTCCCCACTACCTCCTTCTCCCTCCTCAGATCATCCCTTCATAATCCCGTCGCACGCGCTGGTTTCAATCAGTTTCAAATCGTTCATTTAACTAATCTGACGTGTCGCTCCTTGAGAAAATTTTGCGCGAAACCACTGTTCCGCCAAAAAAGATTTAACGAGAAAGTATTGTGCATATAAATTGTGAAGCTACAGGATGCCTTCTCGATCGGGAAAAGTTCAAAAACATTTCACCAACAAGCAATATTTGCAAATGGCTCTGTTGTATTACTTCTCGAAAAACTTAAAGGTAACCCAAGAGATGTTCCACTATCGCTATCCAGATGCCCGGATTCCATCACACAGACGTATTCTGAAGACAACAAAAAACTTTTTGGATCACGCGTCACTTCACGTGCCAAGTATCCCAGATCTCAAATTCACCAAAGTGAAAAGTGACGAGGCAGAAAACCTACAATAGTTTACGAATGCTGCGAAAGTTTACGTCAAGATTTTGTTGACTTATTGTGTGCAATTTACGAGAGTTCACAACAGACATTGATAATGCCAGCGATGAAGAGACGTGCAGCTTTTTCTCACAGTTCACTGTGTATATTAGAAGTGGGAAGATATCTTGATCGCTCTTTATCCAAGGCAGCTTATTAGAGCAAAAATCTTGCAACTTATTGTAACCTTCGAAGCGGTTGTCTGCAAAACTTCAAGAGAGGTGTGATGAATAATAATAACTTTATTTGGAACAAGTGTGATCAATGTACATAAAATTATGAAACGTTAATTCTGCTATAGTTTAACAAAAACTGTGTTGAAGAATCAACGCCCATTCCCGTTTAATATGAATACAGTGTTCCTATTAATGTATTAATAAAACAAACTGTAGTTTATGATTGTGAATTGGAAGTTGCGAACAATTATTGACATTATGTGCGAGTAGTTAAAATAGTTTTACACAATGCAGGCTTTTGTCATCCTGTTTAATGTAATTATTTTTTGCTAATCGGGTGGCTACCTGTCCATTATTTTAAGAACAAGACTTAAACATTTTTTAATTTTTTAATTACAATTACTTTGGTAGCTCAGAGGTAGCTGCCCGGTTAGCATAAGATAAATGTTTTCTTGCCTATCTGATTATAAGATGGTTTTGTTAGGTACTCTGTAGAAAAATATTTTATTAGCTTAATCTGTCTTAGATGCAATATTATTAAGAATAAGAATATTAAACTCATTTAATTATCAATTGGCCAACAGCCTTTCCTTTTTATTCTTATAGAGCATTGTGAATGCTGTTTAATGTAGTCTTAGGCTTGAGAAATCGTACCATAATTAGGCTCTGTGTCTTTATGCCTTTGAGTCTTTCTTATTTTTCTTATTAACTTCACTTTAAACATTTCTTAATTGTCAGTTAATATGCCCATGATATCAAATTCACTCTTTTGTAGTCGATTAAAAATAAAGTGTGTTATTAATAAACTCCAAGGTCTTTATCATTATGCTATTTTTATCATTATTTTCTGACCTGCGTGAAAATACGGCTACTAACAGCTGCCGCGTTGCAGTCGAAAAAGATCTCCAGTTAATGCCTCTCAGCAAATGATCTGGTATACGGGCATTTCCACTGCCAATAACCATCTGTAATTAATTCATTTGGCGTTAATTACTGAAAATTCAGTTTATTTTAAATAATATAAGTAGATTTTTTATGGAGTACAGTAACTATCAAAGCAATAATTAAAATATTTACCGTATCGTCTGTTACTGATGATTGCGCAGACGCTCTTCGAACGTGCGCAGGTTTTACTCGTTTCACAGGCATTAGAGAATTCATTTGGTCCATCGATCTAGTTGCAGTTACCATTTCAGCTCTAGCACATCGACTAGTTGACGGCATTGCGATATCATTTCTAGCCTGTATTTGAATGTATTTCTATATTTAATTATTCGTAAAAACAGCTGTCAAAATTTATATCTATAGAATGTTTTAACTGGAAACTTTAATGTTACTTTATGGACAGCATTGCTATGTAGAAGTAACAAAATATTTGTATATTACTTGAATTGATCGAAATTTTAGTATCATAATTACACACAAGCACGAGGACCATAGGAAATTATAACACTTAACTACCATTTGAAAGGAAAATAGAAATGTCAGCTATGCATTTTAAAAAAATGCACAGATAACCCACTTAACAGGGTTATACTTCTCTGATTTGTTATATGATTCGTTGTCACATAACTGGCTGGCGTTAATGATGGATTCTCATTGTGGTGCAGACAATGTAAACATTTATAATTTTTTGAAATTTCTTGCCATACATTTTCATATTTGCTTCCAAATAGTTATATTTTCAAATTCCAGTCTGAATTTATTGATTAGATGCGTAATGTAGGATCCTTACCTGCAGGATGTTTTCTTGATTTGGTTGTACACAGCTTCCACTATTTAGCCAATTCTGAAAAACAGTAAAAAATTTACAGATACTTTTAAACTTTTACATTTGCCGTATTATCTTAGTTTTTAAAATTACTTGGTTTACTTGATCGTCTGTGTCATCGCTGCCTTCGGCTTCATGCACTGGTGTACGAGATGTGTTCTGGTCTACCGTGCCTTGTTCTGAGAAACCTTGTTGAATACGTTCGAAAAGTCTTTGTAACGTAAAAATTGACTTAAATATATCAGGTAGCCCAGATTCATTGTTGTTGAGCAGCTATAAGAATAACGAATCTTTATAAATATACTAAAATAATCCTCTATTCAAAGTTAGGTATAAATATGAGTCAAGAGTACCTGCTGTCCGTCGTCGATTAATTGTTCTACACGTTGACCCTCTATCGGTTCAGATATATTGAAATGCTCTCTTTCATTGCTATTGGTTTGGTTCTGAAAATAAGGTATGCGAGTAAAGTATAGGTCATTATAATTATTGATAAACCCACAAAGTATAATCCATTTACCTCATCTTCCATATCACTACTATTTTCTATTACATAACTTGGTTGTTTAGAAGAATCGTCCATTGCATTACTATTACCGTCAAGTAGTTGGTTAACACCTAGCTTTGGGTCTAATTGGATAGAAATATTGGATTGATTACTTCTATTTTGCTGGTGCTGAAATAAAAGTTAGGTAATTGACAGTATTTCTACTTATTCGTTTTTTTGTATGACAATAAATAAATGTTTAACCTCTCTATATGCCCACTCTTCAAACGCCTGGAAATCCTCGTCCACATTTACTGGTTGCGTCTGAGAAACGGTCAGTCTGCTTCGTGAATTGGTTTGCCCCTCGCCTTTTCTATAACTCATTTATAGTGAATACTCAACACCAAAAACCCTTTATATTACCTGATCTTTAATTATTACGCAGTCCTCATCTTGGCTTACTGCTTGACTCTGTAGAACCATCAATTGACTGTTGTGGCCATATTGATTTCCTTCACGTTGTGTATTATTTATAACTGGGGGTTGATTATATGTATCTAATTGATTTCGTTCAATGCAAATTTGATTATCTTGACTGTGTCTGTTACCACTTGCTTGGACCTGAAGCAGAATAGATCTATTTGCAAACTTTCATAAAATTTTGCCATTATTTTTGTGTGTGACAATAGATTCACTAAATGTTTAGAAATTTCTTTGAAAATCAGCGTCAATCGGAGATTTTCCATTATTATCAACCTGTTCCAAATATAAACACAATATTTGAATATTATTTATAAAGTCTGGTATTATTCGATTTACCTGATCTTCTCTTATAAAGACATCTTCTTCATTATTTGGTTGATTTTGAACAACAACACTTAGGTTGTTATGACCACCCTCGTCTTGAGATTTGCTTTGTATAGTTTGCTGATGATTGGATACATCCAATTGACTATGTCCTTCACCAATTAATTGATCCTGAAGATGTTTATCTTTACTTAATTTTTTTATTCATCATTGTGGAATAAAGTATAGTTTTTTTGTGTTCTAACTGTTATTATAATTGTTTGACTTTTTAATTTTTTCGTTATTGCAGTTTTTGATCGATTAAATTACCGTGAATGCCGACTTTTTTCGAAGAGTAATCTGTTTTCTTTAAGAATTTACCTTTATTCATTCAAACAACAAATATACTTATGGAAATATTTACCTGGGTAATCGTATAATCCATGTAATTATTTTCATAATTTTCAGTCTGTTTGCCGTGCTCGTAGCATTGTATATAGGATACATTGATTTGACTTTTGGTTTTTTCAAGCTGAAATAAACATTGAAATTTAATATACCTTTTATTATTGTAAAAATTAAATACGATGGTCACCCTTACAATGATGGGACTGAAGAATTTAATATACTTGAAAATAGTACCAGCTGTTATAGCTGTATCAGAATATTATAAAAAATTATGCCCATTAAGACGAATGTTGTACCTGTGTGGCGTTTTTTCCACTAGAAGAGCCCTCATCATCACACGGCTGCTTATGAGAAGTACTCTCTAAATTACGATATCCATGTGGTTCTATTCTGAGTTTTTCGTGTACTGAGTTTGCATTTTTAAACATATTGAGTTGCTCTAGCCCAATACTAGCAAAATAATTCTGAAATATTTCGTAGTATTTAAAATACTACGACGGTCATCAAGTCTAATACTTTTTAACTGAAGAATAATTTAAAGCAGCATGTTTTTGTAATGAAACAATAATTTTAATAATTTTCATATGCAATGGCAATAATAAATTATATTGTATTTGTGGATTAAGAAAATATTCTAATTATTAGAAAATAACGAAAATAAGAAGAAGTGTTTATTTTAAATACTATTTGTTATTTTAATCCACTTCCTTTGGAGTATTCTTTTGCGTCTCGCCACTGCTACTTAAGTCGTCACTTTCTACCTGCTGTTCTTGGGTTATTTGTTGACTGCTACGATGATTTGAGGGTTGTTGGGCATCACATTGTATTACATCAGATGGTATTAAATCGCTGGATTGACGATATTCACTTCTATATACCTGATTCTGAAATAAATTCGTTTTATTGTTTATGCAAATAAACATTATATTAATGAAGACTTGGAAACAATATTTAATAATATTAGGTTCAATTTTCTAATTCCTATAAGAACTCCTAATTTAGAGTTGAATAAATAAGTTGTTGGTTAATGAAGGAGTTTTCTTACAATAATAATACTTCATTGAATATTTGACTCAAGTCATTTTTACCTGATTATTAATTACATCATAATCTTCAGAGACTTCATTTGCTTGGGATATATCGAGTCTGTTATCTCCTGGTGATTGATAGTCTTCTCTTAATATACGCGATTGGTTGTTTGTATTTCGTTGATTTTGTTCATTATTGTCAGAATTCTGCATTCCACTGCTATATGCTGATCGACTTTGCGTCTCGATTGTAATATTTTCATTTGTTGGTTCCTGACCACTGCCATATCCTGAACCCAGTTCAGGCATATCGAGTTGACATTGTTCGCTGCCATGGGGCTGGTCCTAAAGTAACGGAAGAAATAGAAATGCTTGAGCTGGACAATGCTAAATAAAGTTAGAAGGTCTAGTTTATTTTTAAGCTATTTCATAGATTTTATCGCGGGCTTTGAGCGCGGCGACCGAATCAAGAAATTCCGTTACGAAAAAACCTTACACCACTGAGTAAAACTTTTGGTTGTGGTGGGATGTTCAATTGAAAGACTGAAGAGTATCCATACAAATTTTGATCTGACAACCAGCGAAAAAAGCCCATAAACAAGGTTTATAACATACTTATATAAACACCGAAATAAAACCATACCGCAATACACAATAAGTTATCGCCATCTATGACAGGCGTTGTTAACTAATTTTATCCTATTAACTAATATTACCTGAAACAAAACCATATCTCAATTTACAATGCATCGATCTATGAGAGGTATTATAAACTAATTTAATATTTTAGTTTTGTTTTATTTATATATTTTTATCTTTTTACATTTATATTATTTCTATATATTAACATTTATTTATTGGTATATTACTGTAGTTTTCAATCTTATACATGCCTCATGTTTACATGCAAAAACAAACGTGCTGGAACAAAATATCAATATAGTGAAAATAATAATGAATCTTACTCTTATATAATATGTACTATAAAAAATAATATTATAAAGGACAATGGGCAAAACGCACCCAGCTCCGCCAACAATGTAATTAGTATGAATCGATAGATCTATGAAAAACTAGCCTTTTTTATTATGACACCGAAAATAAATATCCTGGGAGTTAAAAGATATGACACCGTAAAAAATATCTCGTAATCAATAGATATGACACATGGGCATATTTAAGTAGCTGAATAAATTCATTTTATGTTATTAGTAATCATAATAATACGCCATATCGTACTATGCAAGCAGATATACGACAAAGCCTGTCGACCATCCTGCGCTTGCTCTGACTGAGACATTTCAAAACGGTTTACGGATGCTAAAGGACTTGCAGTTGCAAATAGTCGGCTCGTCTTACGTCGTTGTGATTGTGCGCTCCCTGCTACTTGATTGATTTTTATCTAACACGCTTTGGATATTGGAACACGAATATCGGTTTTGTCAATTAGTATGGATGAACTGGAATCATGTTTTCTCCGAAGCGTGGACAAGTTTGTGTAATCTGTGGTCGCTTTGTTTTACATAATAGACGACGTACTATAACGAACAGAATGTTTAAAAAAACCCAACCCAAGCGGGGCTTTTTGGATTTACTCTAGCCGGGCAGAATAACATAAAGGGGCACCTTGCACCTTGAGAAGTACTCCCATAATTCCTGAGCACCCTATGTAGGGTCGAACTAACTAACTAAATTAATTCCCTTGTTTCATTATTGTTCGTTCGTTTAAGTACTTGCACATATTTAACTTAAAATAACTAAAGACCCCCAAGATAGAATTTGATGCGCTTTGGCACAGATGATCTTGACTATAATACCTTTCAAACACATGTTGTTTAAACCGTGGTGGACGTGGGTGCAGCGTCCATACATTTTTACCCAATGTCCTTTTAGATATTGGAAGTACACATAGTTTAGAAATGGGTCTTTTTATCAATGTGTCTTTAATAATTTCTTTACAATGCTAGGTAAGACAGCGTGCATTTTGGCTGCGTAAACGAGTATATGGTACGATGTATATGATACGACTGTGCGAAGCTCGCACGGATCGAGACGAGGTGTTCCGAAATCGGACGAATACATAAGCTGCTGTTTGTGAGAAAGTATGTAGGTGTATAGGTATCTATCATTTATGTACAACAGTGAATAGCTGTATGAGTAAAATTTGTGTATAGTATTTTATGCAATAGCATTACCGCGGCAGTCCCCGAGTGCCACACGTATTTTTCTTATATGTATTTAAACTATATTTTAAGTTCACTTTGAAAAACTTTGACTAGTTTCCTACGAAAGAAGAACTATGAATTCTTACATAAATTAAAATATTTTACCTCATTGTTATCTCTTCTACTGGGGGAATTATGGACCTGTGTTTGTTGTGCTTGGTTACTATTGTGTAGACGGCTGCTTCGGTGTGTTTGCCTCCGGCGTTCACCGTGAGCTGATCTCGATCGATTGGACACTAGTCTACGACTCTGAGCACTATTCTGAAAAAAGAAAACCTATCATACAATCTGACATTAATGCCTTTTCGCTTTTATTATCATTATAATTTACTTATAGTATCGATGAAGCCTTATTTTAAGATCTATATTACCTACTTATCACACATTTGTTACGATATATTGTGTGACCAAAATTTATTATTACTATTTCAATAATTTTATATAAGGCCACTCAGAAAGTTTTGCGAAAAAAAGTTTTTATGTATAAAATATACTGGCCACTTGTAATTATTTTGGAAACTTAGATTATTTAAAAGAAAAAATTCCACTGTTCGATTTTCAAATTTCCCTCTACAGAGGCCTTTTCGAAAACCAATAAATTTAAAATTTTCTTGTCTCATTAAAAAATAGATATGCATTGAGAACATTTTCGTGCTATGATATTTTACGATTTTAAATGTGACTTAAAACATGATGAGTCATAAAGGGCCTTCAAAAGCAACCATCTACCGCTGGTGTAGCGAGGTCAAACGCGGTCGTCTTACTTTGGAGGATGAACAAAAGAGTGGTTGTCCTACGACGGCTGTCACCGAAGAAAGTGAGCTGGCAGTAAAAAAAATAATTCAAAAAAACAGAAGAATTACGTACCAAGAGATTCAGCATATTCTGCAAGTAAGTTCGGGAAGTGTTCACAAGATTTTGCAGAGCACCTTTGCGTAAGGAGGATAGTTTCTCGCTGGGTGCCGCGCAACCTCACCGAAGCTCACAAGCAGGCCCGTGTGGATTGGTGCAGTGATATGATACAAAAATTTGATGCAGGCTCGTAACGGCGCGTTTACAATAATTATTGTCACAGGTGATGAATCTTGGATTTATCAATACGCTCCAGAAACAAAGCGTCAGTCGACTATTTAGCTTTTTCAAAATGAACCAACGCCTACGAAAGTGAAGCGATCGAGGGGCGCAGGGAAAATTTTGATTGCTAGTTTCTTCACTTTGACGGGGTACCTAATTTCAATTCCACTTCGAGACCAAAGTAGGTAGCACCAACGCCGAATGGCACAAAATGCCTGCCAGATTTTTTTTCTGCAATGAACAACAAGCGACCTAACACCGGTCTCCGCGGGGTCCTTCTTCAAAACGACAACGGGCCCGCGCACTCTGCGATCTAAACGAAGGACTTCCTGGACTCCAAACCAGTCAAGAGCGTTGGGACACCCTCCTTACAGTCCCGATTTGGCTCCGTGTGACTTCTTTTTATATCCTAAAATAAAAAATGTGCTCAAAGGGATACAGTTTTTATCGCCGAAAGAAGCGTTTGTGAGAAGGCTGTGGAAGAGGTGTCTGCGGAGGACTAGAAAAAATGTTTTGAAAATTGGTTCAGACGCATGAAACTTTGTATAGAGGCTGGTGGAGAGTTCTTTGTAAATATTTAATAAAAATATTTTTTTCATACAAGTTAGTTTTTTAGTTTCTCAAAACTTTCCCAGTGTCCCACGTACAGACATACCGGCTGTCCTTGAAATGTGTTATGTATATTGCTACGACCACTCGGACGTCCTCGGCGCTCGTGGTGTACTCGCCCCGGTCGGTTTGATATATTATATCTTCCATTGTGAATCTGCAATTAGGTACAAAAACAAAATTATGTACAATAATAATTATTTCCTTAATCTGCTTCTCATTTTATTTGAGGTTACTCTTAATAGTTAACTCCAAAAGCTCCTCCTGTTAATGACTTACTTCTTCGGTACGGACCGCTTCAACCATTGCCCGTTGTCTTCGAGAGTTATTTTGTAAACTCCTGTTGCGCCGTTGATGTCTTCTGTGTTCTCTATGTGCAGAATGTGTTCGGATAGTTCTATTTGTTTGATCTCGTTCACGGCTCTGTGTCAAAGAGGTGCCATGTTACCTTTATGTTAATACAAAACTTTTTCTACGAACGAAACGTTAGTCAGATTTTGAAGCATTAAACACTAGCGGGAGTTTCTGAAATTTGTGGTTGCGATATTTACAAACTTTAATAAAGCTAGGGTATAGCGATTTTTCAGTTCGAATTGGAGCGTCCCTCTGGAGAAGTAACCTTTACCTTACAGAAGACCACATTAAAATAACATTAATTTTTGTTTGGTGCTGCTGTGTTTCTGTCAGTGAGAAGTTCCAGGATTCTACGGGGAAGGGGATTGGCTCATGGCAGGCAACGGCGCGAGTTATATTTTTGATATTGCAAGTGTCTATAATGCAATTGGCTATGGTGCCACTTATCATCAGGCGAGCCATATACTAGTTTACATTTACCTTTTGACATAAAAAAAATACGTTCGTAAAATGCTAACTCCTATAGTTAGACAAAGACCTATTTTTTTCCTATTCGTATCTTCTGCTTTTTACTACTATTATTTAATTATAGCTTTAGTTTTTCCTTATGTCTTAATATTTTCAACGTATCTATAATAAACAGATTATATGTATCTTCTTTACAATAATTTAGTTATTTCCATTTTCTTATTTCCGCTCAATTCTTTTCATCAATCTAGTTTCGCATAGTACTTCTTTCAAGGCCAAACTTTACTGCATTTTTGGCTACGTCTTTCTGTCAAAACATTATTATTAAAGTCTATAACCTAAATCGCTCACATTTTCTGTATGTATTGTTGCAACCGTATTTAAGTTTCATACCGCTAATCTATCAGCACTCGTAAACGCTAGTGCTTAATTTTAATAACGGAGATATAATTTTATCGTTCTTTTGATCATTTAGTCCCATGTTAGAATAGCAGACAGTTTTTTTTTGAGAGAAAAGGTCTTCCAATTATATAACAGTATCATCATCATCATCAGCCTATTAATATCCCCACTGCTGGGGCACAGCCCTTCCCAATAGGTGGAATAGGGAGTTTGGGCCATGACCAACCACGCGGGCCCAGTGTGGATTGGTGGGTGCTAATGACTACAGATGTAGCCGGGACCAACGGCTTAGCCTGCCTTCCGAAGAACGGAGGCGATCGAGATAATAAATTTTAGGTCACCTATCCAATGACCGACCTCTGCGATAGTTGCTAAACTTCAACTATCACAGCCGAGCGCGCTAACCACTTGCGCCATCGAGCTCATCTTCATATGACAGTATAGTTATTATTAAATTTGTCAGTTCGTGTTATTTTAAACAATGCCTTTATAATAAGTATTTATTTATTTGAACTGGGTACTAATAATATTTTATGTTGTTCTTCCATTTCAACAAAGTGGCTTAGTAACAAACATTCACATTTTCATGTTTTTTAAATTAGCACAGCCATTATTTTCTTCCTCTATCATTCCATCTTGCTAATATTTTTATTCCAGCACGCAAGAAATTAATTCGGTATCGGTTATTTTATATTAAATAGTATTAATAGAGCCATACCTGCTGTCGTTGAAGGGTATTTGGCAGACTGCTTCGGCCATTTGATTGTTCTCTGCGTTCACGATTAATTTGACTACTTGGTACGGTAGATTGACTTGGTGGAATTATATTAGATTGACTTGACTGCATTGTTATATTGGATTGATTTGGAGGGATTGTATTGAATTGACTCAATGGTACCGCAATAGATTGATTTGACGTAATTGTTGCATTGGATTGAACTAATGGGACTGCATTTATTTGACTCAATGGTATTGCATTAGATACACTGGTTTGGTTTGTTTCATTGGATCGTTCTGATGGGATTAAATTAGATTGTCGGAATAATTCCGTCGTACTGCTATTACCAGAATTCTGTAATAATAAAACGGTAAACTAGTTAATATAGAAACAAGTAGAAAATAAAAGTATGTATAGGAATTTCAACTTCATTACCTGCAAATCTCTTACAGACCATTCAGCATACAATTGATGCATCCGAGATTGAAATGGTGAAATGTGCGGCCGATAGTGTAGGTTTCGGTATTCACCAATATTTGGACATGATGTGTTGAGGTAATTTCGATTCCTTCTGAGTCCGTTGTTATCAAACTGTTTAAAAAAGTAGTTATTGAGAACAATCATTTCAAGGTTAAAACGTTTCATATTATAGTAAAGTACCCTATATTCTCCTTACCTCATTTTGTATGTCTTCGCCATCTGCGTCATAATATTCTTGTCTACCCTGATCTACGAGATTTCGATTGCTGTAACCTGGTAGAAATTGACCACATGTTCGACATAGTCTACTTGTTCTTCGTCGTTCGAAGTGCTCCCTTCGGCAATTATCAAGAAGTTCCTAAAAGAAGAATTCCAACAGAATATTTTATTTCAGTAATATTCTAACAGCATTCACTTTTGATATTTTCATATCTGATTTCAATTATGACTTTTTATTCTTAAAATGTTAGTCTAAGCTTATAAAAGCTAATTTAAAATATACAGGTTGGCTCCACGAGTGGTGTGTTTCACGATTTTTTGTAATACATAGGAGATATTTTTTTACTTTTCAAAAATTTCTATCTATTTAAAAAAAAACTTTATAATTTCATTTATTTTTGTATCCTATTTATTGTCATTTGCACTATCACACAGAAAATACCCAGCTTCCTTCTATTAATAAAATTTATATAATGTTTATGGAAAATAAAGAATATGGTTTGGAGCTAGTCAGAGTTTTATTTTCAACAGTTGTTAATAATTTTAAAAGCTTACCGTGAAATTCAGCTTTGATTGTAATAAAAAAAATGGTACTTAAGACCTATTTTAACATTTTTAGTGGTGAAAATGTCCTTAAATTAATTATTTTAAAAGCCCTATACGGGTCGGCCATGCCCATCCACTTTCTGGGGAATCAATGATCAAGGTACTCTCGTACCGTTCTTGCATAATGGCAAGGAGCCCCATAATTTTATAAGATCATTCTACTTCTAATTATAATAACTAGCAAACCAGTGAACCAAATGTTCACCAAAACCTGATTTAAAAAAAAATGTATTTAATTAATTGAGAACTTCGGAGATTTTGTGTGGTTTCGTTTGAAATTCGTGATTTCTCGAAAACCGGAAGTGATAAGAGATAATAATTTTTATTCATGCCAAAAAATATAAAAGGTACAAAAATTTTACAGCTTATATTTTTTTTACATAAGGCAGTAGTCTTAAAATGAAAAAGTACAACTGACCCTAGATAGGATATAAATATAGCCTGTGTTTAGGGATTCAGACCCTTCCAATAGGTTCCTTAAGATGACACAGTTATAAATTGTTACAGGATAGCGAAGCAGATCAGATAACAACATTTGTTCATGACAAAGATATTAATAAACATAATGGGTCTGAATGTGCTCACTTTCAAGATCGCACGTTGAGCCCTTTCCAGCGGTAAAAGATCTGTTTTGAAGGTTTCTCCCCATGCGGTAATGCAATAAGTAATAATGCTTTGGCATAGGGCAAAGTAAGTGGATCTGATAATTGAAGGTGGGGCAACATAACGAAGTTTTATAAAATGTAAGTTGGTCTATAAACTGTTTAAAATTTAGATTTTGATCAATATTAATTCTAAAATATTTAGTGGATATGGTTGAATTTATACACGGACAAGCGCAGCTATTGAATTCTGGAAAAAGCAGGTATGAGCTATTAGAGATGGTGGTGGCTTCGGTTGAGTGTCGTTACAAATAGAGAAGGTGATGAAGTTGGATTTGGAAGCATTTAAAGTAAGTGTGTTAGCAACCAACCATGCAGTAACGGCATTCAACCCCTTTTGAGCAGTAGACAAGGCGTCTGTTCAAGTTTTCCCAGTGAAAGTAAGAACAGTATCATCCGCAAAAGACGTAATTTTACCGTTGAGAAGTTTAAGGTTACAAAGGTCGTTGATAAAAACAAGAAACAGCGTAGGTCCTAGGATACTTCCCTGTGGAATACCATATGTTATAGGGGTATAGTCACTATATACATCATTTATTTTTACCCTTTGCGATCTTTTCAGCAAGTAGCTACTAAACAGTTTATGTTGGACACCTCGAATACCGAAGCTACCAAGCTTTTTCAATAACAGGGCATGGGTACGGTATCAAATGGCTTTTTTAAGTCGAGGAAAATAAATACTACTTTATTTTTAAATAAAACTAGTTTTATTTAATGAGTGATGTGCGTGAAAACCTAAGAAACAAATACTTTATTTTTTTACTATTTATATTACTGGCAACATGATTCAGAAGTTCGAGAACAGCATCAGATGTGGACATCCCACGCCTAAAACCAAAAATGGTGAAATTAGTTCACAACTTTCGAGGTACTTAGTTAGTCTTTGGTTGATGATACGTTCAAGAACTTTAGAAAGAGATGTAAGTAGTGCAATCGGTCGATAGTTCCCGGGAGATTTTCTATCACCACTTTTATATATGGGATGAACCCTTTTAAATGCATTAGGAAAAATCCCTAGGTGGAAACATTTATTAAAAATATAGGTCAAAGGTTCTGTAAGTACAGTAACGTAGCGCTTAAGAAACTGATATGTTATCCCAACCTACTGCCGTATTCGATTTTAGAGCAAGGAGAGCATCACGAACCTCGTTTTGATCTGTGTCTAAAAGGACGAAAGATTGGGAGGACAACGCAATCTTAGGTGGTTTATATTGTGTAGCTACATTATTGCTGTTAGTGATTTTATTTGTTAGATCTTCGCCGACCGTAGCGAAAAGAGAGTTAATATAATTGACTCAATTGGCGTTGCACCAGATTGTGAAAGGTCCGATGAATGGTGGTTTAAAGGAGTTGTGTGAGTTATCGGTTTAATAGTATATAAGGATTTCTTTTGGTGTTAGTGCCTGCCATACGAAGTTCGTCCGTATCGTATTGCCTCTTGAGTTCCTTAAGTAACTTTGTACAATAACTACGATATCTAGTGTACGTTATTTTTAATGTGGGACTGTCAGGATTATTTTTCACTTAACGATGCATAGCGTCCCTGCTTCGAATACAGCGCAAAACTCCTGGTGTGATCCACGGCTTAATAATTTGTTTTCGTCGAGACGTGCGTACTAGTATCGTATGTTCTGTTATGAATTAGGTCAACATGCGGATCAGTATGTCTGTAACACAATTCCAGTTGTTGATTGCCTGATCCATACCACAATAGTTAGTTTTGCGAATGGTGTATTTATTAAAGTTACGTGGTTAGCAGTTTTGCAGACATTCTATTACAGGAAAATGGTCTGTTACTGTAGAGTCTAAAACAAGTGTGGTTGAGGGAAAAATAGTTTTTAGGAATACGTGATCTAGGCAGTTAGGTCCACGGGTTGGCAGTGTATGACCAGGCAAATAACCATGGAATGCTAAAGTGTCAAGATATTCAGCGGCTTTGGAGTCAGTTGATTGGGGAATGATGTTGATGTATAAGTCACCTGTAATTATAACACTTTTAAAAGAGTTTAACGTTTGTAAGATGCTACACAAGGAGGTCATAAAAGTGTCAATCGATTCATTCGAAGGTGACCGATAAATGCAGAGTATGGCAGTATCGGTTTTCAACTTAATCAATAGACAAGAAGCATTTATCAAATCTGGTTCGTCGACATCACAGCTTAAATCAGATTTGATATATGTAACCACTCCGTCGGATTGGTTAAGGTGTCGTTTGGTGTGGAACGTATTATAGTTGCTCAACATAGGAATATTCTGATTTGACAAACAAGGAAGCCATGACTCGGCTAAGGCAATAACATCGAGCTCAAAAGGCAGACTAAATAGTAAAGTTTGTAAACTCAAAAAGTTTGCATTTATTGAGCCTATATTTTGAGTTAATATCTTATATCTTATAAAGTGTGATATCTTAAGATTTGCTTTGGGATTCGCTTCGTACGTTAGACAGTTTTCAGGTCTGCAGGTAACCGAAAAATCATCAATTTTATTATTTAAAGATTTAGATGGCGAGAATGTAACATGAAAAAGGAGTTGTCATAGGTAGATGATTGCTTTAAAATCATGGTTCGATAGTTATTATAATTTAAGCTCTGCAACCAAATACTTAAGATACACTTGCAGTGTGTTGTAAAAAATTGTGTATATTTTCTGTAAAGGTGTAAGGTAGTTGTAATGAGGTAGTTGTAAGATATATATTTCCATTCAAGACAGTTTGTTTTTTGATTGTGGTATTTTGTCTAGTCAGTATTAAAAAACAAGAAATATTTAACACGTATAAAAAAATAAAGCTAAGATTATTCTTTTTTGTTCGAATTGCCACAAAAATAAAGGTAAAAACCCGACACCCAAAACAAAAAGCAAAATAAAAAATCGCTAAGACTAGTCAGTTTCCCGGGAGAAAAACTTCCAACTGTTGCTCAGTTTTGATGTGGATGGCTGGTGCTGTATCAGTCTTTCGAATAAGGATACGACCGTTGGATGTCCAGCAATGTGTTATTTTCCTGTCATTTTTTTATTTTAGTGCCAAATAGTACAAGTGCGAGGCCTGTTGATGTTTTTTTTAATTCTGGGATTCCGATGTGGCTTGTGTTGAATTTTGCGTCCCCATGCATTTTGTTATACGTCCTAACAACAGATAATAGTCTAGCCTTTATCCCAGTGCTAGACAAGTTTACAATAATCGGCTTCTTTTGCTCCTTCTTGCTGGGAAGTCGGTATACGTCTTGTATATCTAAATCGGTGAAGTCAATATTGAGACATTGGAATAATTTTTGGACATAAGTCGAAAGATCAAACCTTTTTTCTTTGTCGGTCATTGGCACATTTCGAAACTCAACGTTAGTAGAACGCGATTGACGTTTTAAAACCTCAATTTTATCTTAGAGGGAATCTATCAGTTTCCTGTTTAATTTACACTCCATTTCCAGTTGATTCATTTTTAATTTAATGTTATCAGATTCAGCGGAGATGAATTCAATAGATTTTTCAATGCCAGAGTTAGTTATTTTAATATTTTCAAGTGTATCTTGTATACAAGTAAGTTTGTCATTATGCATCGCTGTGAAAGTTGCAAAAATACTCCTTATCTCGGCCTTAAATGCGCTCAATTCTTCCTTTAATACATTGTCGTGTCGACGCTTTGTACTGGTGTTAAGAAACAGTGATTGGTTTGAGCCTTCGACGTTTGTCGCAAGAGGAATGTTAGGATCCGACCCATATTTTGTGTCATTGGGCGAGCGCAACATTGTCGATCTAGTGGTGGTATACCTTAACACTAATTAATATGCGCAGGCGGTGCCTAGGAGGCGGAGTTAAATACAAAAGGATGCGCGCGTAGTGTTAGCAGAGGCGTGGTTAATAGTGGTATGGGTACTCACGCTAACGTAATCTCTTCTTGTGCACTGTGCTCCTGGTAGGTCCGTTTATTATTTTTATAAATTAAAGCCGAATATAACAATATTTCTTCAATAGTGACACCGAAAAACACGTCTATACGCTTTCGCGATCCAAGGGGAAGGGGGAATTAGTCGGTGTACATTCCCTAACGAATCGTCTAAATTTTTTGTTAAACACTCTAAATATTGGATTCTATTTAATCTAGCTGGCCATTCGAATGGTCCCACAAGTGTCAAGTTTAAAATTCCCGCACATAAATTCACACTGAAACCTGTTTGAAACTTTGATTATCATGCTATGTGTGGGTTTTCAATTGCCCAACTATGGTAATTGTGGATATTGAAAACTCCGGTTCTTTCGAATCGCAATTTGTCTGTCCATTTAATTTTTCGAAAATTTTTGGATCCCGGTCATTTCTTTCTTACATTATTCGGCAGAAAGGCACTTTACTTGGATAATCCGTAAGTTGTAGTTTTGTACCCCTTGAATATGACTCATGGTGCCTCTCTGAAAAAAACAAACTAACAGCATATTGTAATTCATCCATCCATCAGGGTGGCCATCAGGGTATTATGTGCATTAATTAACACGCTGTGATCCGGGTAATTCTCCTCCCCTCGCCATTCGAGCTGCTTTTGACCATTTCCTTGGGCAACACCGTAATAATAATGCATCTCTGCATACTCGCTCAAAGAATACTCTTGTTGCGGCACAAAGATCGAAATCACGAGGTAATCAAAGTCTGATACACCAGCACAGGTCAGCCACAGGGCAATCCAGATAGCAGCGAGAGTTAATTAAGTACTAATTATAAAATATGGAAACAATAGTAGGAACAGTATTAGTAATATGAGCGAAAGCTGTGAACTGAGGCTGAGCATTTTACTTACTTGTTCATATATATTATTAGCAGCTGCATCTATGAACGTTTCTGGTCTTAAGGAAATGTTTTGAAGACTCCTATAGTGATTCAGTTGTTCTCTACGAATATCGGGTCGACGTCGCCGGTAAGATCTCCAACCTCTACCGTAATATTCGAGCTGGAATAAATAATCATAGTTATTTTTACGGTAAATTATCAAAGAATACAAAATTTTGTTTGTTGTTGCTTTAATACATATAGCTACACATTATATAGCTAGGCTAGGCCCGCTGCCTTAATAAATATAATTCCGTTTTGATGTTTTTATAGTTTAAGCGCATCTACAAACTTTGCAATCAATATTGTATTGCAGATTACGGTTGATTAATTACTCTATTACCTCACTGTCACTTGAGGTCCCATCTGTGTATTCCTCTTGTCCTCCAGAAATATTAAGTGTACTGCCATGGGAATGTACTTGTTCTCTTGAGCTTCCCTGGTTAGGAGTATGAATTTGATCTGCACTGCTGCGAGGAACATTCTGTAAGGATTCGTGTTATTTCGAATAATTTGTAATATCAAACACATTTATTGTTTCGAGTTCACAAGCTTGATTAAAACTTATTAAGAGTTATTTGGGATCATTCCAGGAAATCAAAAAATACGAGAACATTAGAAAAATCGATATTTTTCCCCGGTGTCTAGTTCAAGGACACAAGGCTGTTTCGAATGTTTCCTTAGTACCCTTCTTTTGGCTACCTTATTGTAAATTCTGTTTTCTTCAAAAGGTTTTCAGTCACATATCTAATTAATATTATTATGAAGATTATTTTTGCGGATTAATTTTTATCTTATTATAGCATACCTGCTGTCTTTGACTGGTATTCGGTAGATTGCTGCCGTCTCTAGATCGTTCACTACTGCGTTCGCGATGAAATTGATCTGATGATACATTGAATTGACTACTTCCACTAGCCCCAATCTGATTCTGAAAATATAAACAGGTTCTAGTTGATTTTCTAGAAAAAGCCTTTAGATTATAAAACCTGACAAGTACCGTAAATCAACTATACTAAAAAATCTATAAACAGGTAGTTTGCGGTTAGGTTCTCTGAAGTATAATAAAAATTTCTACGTGTTTTTACATATTTCACTTTTAGTTACCTCAACATTAACTTCATTCTCATCCATACGTATTGTGTGAGAAGAGTGAATTAACACTTGATGTGTTTGAGATATTGTTGATCCATTTTGTTGAGCAGGTCTACCGTTTATTCCGTTCTGAAATACGTCAATTTAAAGGATATATCTTTCTTCATTACAATTTTTTTACAGACAGACTTTTCAAATTACTGATAAATTATATACTTTGTCACGATTCGAGATCGTCTTATCTTTTATTTATTGATAAAAATAGTTTACCTCGTTATCTGTGTCATCACTGACTCCAGCCGCTAATATTTGTTCAGGTTGAGATACGTTCGTTAAAGAAGTAAATTGATTTGGACGTTCTTGACGTTCTCCATGTGGTGGACGATGGGGATTAAAAATATTGTGCCTGCTACGCCTATTACGTCCCACGTTCTGAAATTACAAATTCTAACGTTTACAATATATGAATATTTTTAAAATCATTAATTTGATGTGCATGTTTGCTGTTGCTAGTTCAAACAGTTTTCTACATCCTTTAAAATAGTTTTTCAGTAGTCTTACGATACTTCATCAAGGAGAGCTGTTGTATCCCGCTAGAAGTACTTATTCCTAAAAATTATAAACCTCAATTGGATTTCTTTGAAATCAGTACTCACTGCACCTAAACTAATTACTAGTAAAATCCTATTTATAATTGTGTATTGTGAAATAAATAACTTTACCGGTACATCAAATTCCTCGGCTCTGAACAGTTGTTCCGTTGGGATGTTCAGTAAATTTCTGTAGCTATTGGCTTGTTCCTTAAATAAAAAGTCATCTTTTTATGTATCCACTGTTATGTTATTTTATCATACCTATGTAAAATAAAATATTAGCGACATAGTGGGTATCGCGTAAAATTAATATTCACTAGAAATTCCCCTTTATCTAGTTCAAATTTTAGATTTGTTCAAACTGGTATTTATAATAATATAAGTTATTTACGGGATTGTAACCATGTAGGTTTAGCGAGTTTCCGATATTTCGGCACTGTGTCAAGCGCCATGATCACGGAGTAACTGAAGTAATTGCGGGTAGGCTGTTATTGGCTGACATATCGGTCTACTCTCCGACGAAGTCTTTTATTGCGTTCGATACCCGTACACTGTTCACATTCTCACTATTCACTCGAAACTGTTCTCGACACACAACACTTAGGGTGAAGCCAAACGAGCGTAATTTTGTGAGTTGTGAGTCGCTTATTTTCGGTCACTTATTTTACGTTCAACTGAATTTCTGTTGAGCTGCCATACGAACGTAATTTATTCAGTTACTATTGAGCGTTAGTACGGGGTGTTCGTGTCGTCGAGTGCAATGGATCCATTAAAAATATTGTGTATTTACGAAGCATATTCAGAAGATGAGGGCAGAAAAAGAAACTGAGTAAACCCACTGAATAGTCAGAGGCTTATGTGGACAGTTCCATACTTTATATGAACGTTTATGTGCAAAATCCAGATATGTTTAAAAAGTACTATCATATGCTATTACGCGTTTTTCAAGAATTATTACACCACGCAACTTGTAACAAACTGTTGCTTCCCCACTCCCCTTCCTTGCCCTACCCTCACCCCGACCGAAATTCGGACGAGCTTATGCGCATTGAGTCGGCAGACAACTCATTTTGCGTTGTCGTGTGGCACCAACTGCCTTTTTGTATGAAACCGAATGCAGCAGAATTTCTGCGACCGAAATTCTGCGACTCACCACTCACAAAATTACGCTCGTTTGGCCTCACCCTTACAGTATCGGATCGCGACACAACACTTTTTTGATTATTTCCGGTTTTACATACACGAACCACAGGATTCCAGACACTCGACAATTTAAACCCGTCCTCACGATTGAAATTTTTATATTTGTTATTTCAATCGCTTCCCTGACTAATCTTGGTATGTAGTGGCGTTCGGTCGAGATAATCTGTGGGTTATGAAACTCAATCCAGTGCTTAGGACCAGAATCAATCAAATGTTCCGCGATGGCTGATTTCTACGTATCGTTGTTCTTGATTGCTTTTATGTAATGTACGAACTGCCACAGCTACAATCGATCTTATAGACACCAGGTTTCTCCAAGAGGAAGTTGTCTTTAGGAGACCGTAGGTACTGTGAAACCTTTCGCACAGGAGTGAAGACAGTGTTTAGTGAGTACTTATTCAGTATGTTTGAGATCTTGTCAGTCACTTCTTGGACATATGGCAAATAAACAGGTTGTCTGTCTACTCTGTGTCTCTGGTGTCTTAGTTTGTGTCTAGATGGAAAATGTCCCTGGTATCCATTACTCTGTAAGACTCGTCGTACATGCTCCAACTCTTCTTGGAGATGTTCCTCATCACACAGGTCATATACACGGTTCGTCAGTGAAGTCACTACAGAGTTAAGATATTTAGGGTGGTGATGCGAGGAGGCGTTGAGATAGCGGTCAGTGTGTGTAGGTTTGCGGTAAATGGAATGACCAAGCGAACCGTCATTCCTCATCCGAATCTTCACGTCTAGAAAGTCACTCTGAAATATCGGAAGCTCGCTAAAAACAAGGTACATGGTAACAATACCGTAAATAACTTATATTACTATAACGTTAGTGACCAAGAAAGTTTAAAACAATAAAATGGTATTTTCTATGTATTTATATGTATGTGTATAATTCCTAAACCTCTGTTTTGTATGTATTGATACAAGCACACAAATAAGCCAACATTATTGTTAAACTTTGTACTTAACAAAGTACCATTGAAATTTTATGGTCGTTATGAAGTTAGCAGCGAGTGCAACAGTACGCACTGCGCAGGTTCAACCACGCACATCTACATCACGCTACATTTCTTCTGCTGAGCTGCGACCTAAGCTAACTTCATAACTGTCATATAATTTTAATCGCATGTGAATTTTAAAGAAAATGTTATTTGTCTTTCGTGATTCTACCTCATCGTCCTCACTGGAAGTCATATCACCATACACTTGTTGTATATGATAAATATTCTGTAGACTTCTATTCAGGCGTGGTCGCCTTCTGCGCTCCCTGTGTGCCGAACGCGTACGCATGTGCTCACTGGGATGACCACGCTCCCTTCTATGAAGAGAAGGCTAGAACAAGTCTCACGTTAATTAGAATTCCAGAATAATCTTACCCTGTATAAAATTATGCACTCAGAAATTGAGCCCATTCATTTATTATTGAAGTTATACTTCTTTAGGCGCGTTATGAAAAAATGATGAGAGTGAAATTTTTAGATGCGCGCGCATCACTGTAACCCAAAAGTAACAGCATGAAGTTGGCCGCGGGCGCGTTATGAAAAAATCATGTGAGTGAAATTTCGAGATGCGATCACTGTAACACAATAGTAACACCATGAAGTTGGCCGCGGGCGCGTTATGAATGTTAGTGTCTAATAATGGTGGATTATTAACCACTTAGTGGTTAATAATCCACCATTATTAGACATTTATTTTTATTTTATTGATTTAGGTAACAAACGGTCTCTAACAGTAATATTTGCTTAAATTAAATAATGTATGACTAGACCTATAGTACCATAACTTAAATTAATATTATGTTTAAACAAATTGAGTCTATGAGAAACTTCTTAGTTACTGTTTACAAAATGTTTCAAAATCTTTACAATCTACTAGTACAATATCTCGCGAACCAGTTTTCTGTAATTATTATAAGTACTTGAAACATCTGTTCGAAAGGTACTTTGAACGATCCACGAAGCTCCATAAGATGATCGCGTTGTCAAAAACAATGTTGGCACGCTCGTCGCCTCTGATCACTGTTTTCATATTTATAATATTTATCCACATGTTTCTAGTTTCTATAGACACAACGTGTTTTAGTTACTTACAAGTGCTAATTACATATGGACTAATAACTTAAATTAAATAGTGATTTTAATTGAATATTTTGAATATTTATTTAATTTTTCAAATTAAAACTGAACTTAATTGACTGTGTTAACTATCCTTTTCCAGTCCTTTTATTATTTTATTGTAATTATTAATTATTTGCAAGCAATTAAAAAATATTTTTAATGATGCTAAAGAAGTATAACTTCTCACGCGCGTACATAAGTTACACGCATCCATTTTTTTTTATTTATATTTCATTCATTGATTAAACTTAAATTAGAAATAGAATATAAGAATATGTCACATGGATAAGCATCAAATTTAATTAATGACAATGACTCGACTCAAGTCTGTAATTATTTATAACTTTGTAAAGAAAATCTGTGATTGACTACTTAAATAAATAATATAAATTTTATGATGAAAGCAATTACGTAGAAATATATTTGATTAATAATATTTACTGTTATAAGATAAATCGTATCTAGTTTACACAATTTTCAAAGTTTCAATGAATTGAAAATAAAATAACATTTAATTATTATTTATATGGATTCTGTTCGTCTTTTGTGTTTACATATATATCCTTAAATCTTGTTAATAATATAATAAATATAAACTAGTCGACCATTCTATACTATAAGTGTTTTGTATTTTATTTGTTGATCTCCTGCGAGATTGTTGCGTAAACTATTTTATCATAAAATATATATTTGTACACATGAAAATCTAATAAAATGTCTGTGACAGTAACATGTTTTAAAATTTACTTTTCTTACACTTAATCGTTATTATTTCAAACCTAACCCCATCCCCATTCGAAGGAACGCCTAGGTTCTTGCTACAAATAATATCAACACATCTTGGGTATCAAAAATTCGTATCATATTAACGCATAATTCTATCTCTATTGTTTTGTGTCAAATATAGATTAAAACGAGGTTTGTTTAAACATGATTTTTGTGCAAGATGTCATAGAATTCCTAAAATTTTCACCTTTGCGCCATTAAACTACAAACCTCTACCCGATTAGCCTTATTCACACTTTTAAAAAGAGGAGTTTAATAATTGGTCATTAAAGCTTTTATTATATGCTAAGTGTATGTGTGGCGCATTCGGATAACGGTATACCTCCAAATATAGATGTACTTACTAAAATAAGCAGATATCCATCAAACATCAATGTAAAATAGTACATACCTACCGCGATAGGAGTTGAAGTAAAAGAATAGGTATGATGACTACCTTTTTTCCTTCCTTTATAAGGTAGATAACCAAAATGTATTGAACATGTATTTTTTTCTTTTTTCACATAATCAAAACGTTACAAAGATATATTACATTGGTTTGAAATGCTTGGTACAATTTTACTTAGATGTGACACCACGAGTCCCCAATAACTTACTTTAATTTGATTTATATTTGTATTTTTTTGGTTGTTTGTCAAAAAAAATATGTGTCCATTCTTTATTGATAATCTAACTGACGGACTTAATAGTATTTTGTTTAATTTACCCTGTCATCATCCCTATTAGTCGATTGATGATGTTAAGTCTGTACCTGCTGTCCCTGAGGAACGTTTAATAGCATTCCATTCGATGGTCTAGCATATATGGGATACGGACGGATCGGCATAGTGGATGGACCAGCTCTACTGCTATCGAGTTCATTCTGAAATAAGAAAATGCATCATTAATAATAAATATATAAATATTTCCAACACTCACACCAATTAACCTAGCCCCAAAGTAAGCACTGCAGGCTTGTGTTACAAGCTAGGGTAACGGATAGAATACATATACTGTACATATATAAGTATATTTAAATAGCAATACATATTAAACATCCAGGACTGGAGAACAAATGCTCGTATTCATCACACAAAGATCTGCCCCTATCGGGATTTGAACCCAGGATCTCTGGAGTCGGCGACTCCAAGATACCTGGCGTACAAACCACTCGGCCTCGGAGCTCGTCAACAAAATTCTAATGTTACAATAGTCTTTAATAAGAATTACTGCGTTGGAGTTTCTACTTTTGTATAAAAGAATCGCTGTTGTGAAGAAAAAAAGAAAGTTGTACATCTTCATCTAAAATGAAATAAGCACTGAATCATCGTTTGACGAAGTCCATTGTGTGAGCGGCATGTATGTACCTAGTTTTCAAGGTGTTGCTTATTGAGATGTCCTAGGTTCGAATCCTGATGGGGCAAACGTTAGTATGACAAATACGAATATTTTTACCTAAACTAGGGCATGGCAAACAACATATTATTTATCTAGAAAAACATTATTTTAGAAAAATATCCTATTTTCAATATTTAATGTACTTTCTCTCCATGTGACAAACCCGTGCCGTGGGACGCCCTCTAGGTATATTATACTAGCTGACTTGGCGAACTTCGAAGCGCCCAAAAGTAATAATTTGCAATAAAATAATATTCCGACTATAATGATGCAAACTATCCCGTCATCAAGTTGGATCAAATTGCACACTATGTGCAAATTCGATCAAAATCGGTTAAGTAGTTTATATACCAATATTATACTAGCTGACTTGGCGAACTTAGAAGCGCCCAAACCGTTTAATATAATTTCCCTCCGCGCGACAAGCCCGTGGGGCGGCCTGTATCTACCAACACAGGGCTAGGCTAATTAGTGTGAGTATTAGATGAAAACAATATTGTTTTAATAATCATTTTTTACCTGATGTCTTTGAGGAGTGTTGAATGAATTACGTCCATTTGTCCCAGCACGACGTTCGGCGCGCATGATCGGCCTTATATGTATATTACTTTGCTGGGTCTGAAATAACAATTCTTGTTATCATATTCTGATTCAAGTACCTCAAAGAACTACAAACGTGGAATAAATGAAACTAGTGAAACAAAACTTTTTGTGATTGCTGCATATGCGCTGCGATAGTAGTAATAAGTACGGGTAAAAAGTCCATATATTTAAAATTAGATGTCCCTCATTAATTATATTTTTTTAATTTTTAAGCATGTAAGTGACTGCTCGATGTCTCATTAATTGTTTAAAATTGCCACGATAATTTACGAATATACAAAAGATGGATATTCATTTAAGTAAATCATGCAATTATTATAAAGAAACATGAATAAGGTACAATCACTAATCTTGCCAATCATTCATCTATGTTGCCAATGCTAAATTTTCAAATGAGGCTTAGAATATCCTGCTAAGCATATTTTGGAAGTATTTTAAAGGTACATGTCAAGTTTACTGAATACTCTGAATTAATCAATGTTAATAATGAAAAATCCATCTACCTCTTGGGACCCGTCGTTTGAGCAGTCTTCTACGACTATCTGAGGTACATTCAATATACCGCTTCCAACATTTGATTGTGCTCCACGAGCAAGTCCCGATGTCGAAGGTCTTGAGTTTGGACCATATACATTGTCATCTTCTTGGTTCTGGAAATAACCGAATGTCCACTAATATCCATAGGTTAAAATCCAAAATATAAAGATTTGTCATTTTTGTATTTAATTCGAAAGCTTATTCATATTATTCCTTTTTTGCGTATAGCATTCAGGTTTTTCATCAATATTTTGAAATACGTCGCTAATAGCGACGACTTTGCTTTGTCAGTTTGTCATTGTTCTATCATCATAATGTAAATGTGTCAAATTATCTGTTTTTGTCTTTGTATTTATTGCCATTTCTAATGATATTGATATGGCTTAATGAATCTTCGTTAATCTTTATATTCGTAATTGTAATCTTTATCTACCTCTACTTCAGGTTCGTTGTCTTCCTCATATATGAACACTTCTTGTATTGGACTCTGACTTCTTTGGTCAGGGCTGCTGTCCTGAAAACAATTATAAACGTTAACATGGATAGGACGACGTAACATTATTGTCCTATTCAGAAAAGATGTCCCTTGTGCCAGAAACGCTAGAAATATTTATTAAAAATAATATTTTTTTACAATTTCTAAAATAAAATTTTATAAACTCTTATCTTAAGTATTCATAAGCGCAGAAGAAACAACCCGGGGTATTACTATGCCCCCAAACAATGACGCAGATTCCAAAGTATTTGTGCTAATCAAAAGTTATTTGTACATTCTTAAATTACCGTTGAAACGTATTTTTGTTCAATGATCAAGGAATTGCTTCTAGAGTAGCTGATCAGCTGCATTGTATTGATAGAGTTACTGTTTCTGATGCAAATGTAGTACACTTAAGAGACATATAGAGGAGAGTTAGCAACGGCCACTGCGTAATAGGAAGTCGCCTCCTCCATTTTAACATACAATATTATTATACTATTAAGCAGTTCAAATTTCCAGCAGATGGTCATTATTCGTATACAATTTTCATATGTTTATGTCTTCCACTCTTTGCTATCCTCATCGGGATTATTGGGAATAATGTGTGAAAAATACACTATTTTCAGTTTATAGTGCCACACGTATAATAATCTGTCAACACCCCGTTACAGAAAAAATATGTGAAACTAGAAAAGTTTAAGGAATAGAAATTGGTACGGTTTTATGAAACAACGTTGAAACTGAAACTTTTAATGTGTTTTACATCGCCTAAAATTTTTCTGGTTCATAATAAGGGGCAATAATTTCAAAAAAAATTACAACATTCAAATTGTAATTCTAAATATGAATGAAAAATTTAGGGCGATGACAAAATTTCACAAAACATAAAAGATATCCGACTGAACCAGAAGGAATGTAAGACTCTCCGTGGGCTTATTTAGGAATGTATGTTTGTCGTTCTAATGTGTCGTGACCTCATCGCTTTTCGATTAGACTTGATTCCGATTGATCTGTAAATGCTTTAAACGATTAATAAAGGATTAAATCAAGACTGCGGGGTTATGGTGCCATTTAAAAAAGTGATGAGTGAGGTATATTTTTGTAATACAAATTTGTTATAGTGGATTGGTTATTAAGCAAAGTTTACGTACAGTTTCTGACAAAGGTGACTCTTCTGAATAGGACAATAATGTTAAACTTACGAGGTCGACTTGTTCCATATATATTACTCGTAGAATATGCCAACTTGCACGTACTAGACAGTGGACTTGGTCCTGGTTCGCATCTATCCGCCTTTTTCGATTAAGAAGGCGTTCTCTGTTGTCTGCAAAGAATATTCCAATGAAATCCTACTAATATTATAAATGTGAAAGTTAATCAAATGTATGTTAGTCAATCACGCGAAACGGCCAAACGGATTGCAATTAAAATAGCTACACTTATCGTTTATAACCTGAATAGGATAGGATACTAAGATTGACATAGGTTTTTGAAGTGAAACTTCTATATGTACGCTTGACTTGGGGGGTAAATTGGCGAATGTGTTACGATTCGCGTTACGATTAGTGTCATCGGTGAATCATCGGTAAACAATGAACAATACCCGTCACAAAATACATGAATCTAGTGCATGGTGGGTTATAACCAACCCAGCGCGGATTGGCATGTGACAATGAACCCAGTGCGGATTGGTGGGTGGTAACGGACCCAGCGCGGATTGGTAGGTGATAACGGACCCAGCGCGGATTGGAATGTGAAAACGGACCCAGCGAGGATTGGAGGGTGATAAAGGACCCAGCGCGGATTGTTATGAGACAATGAACCCAGTGCGAATTGGTGGGTGGTTACGGACCCAGAGCGGGTTGGTGGGTGATAATGGATCCAGTGCGGATTGGAGTGTGAAAACGGACCCAGCGAGGATTGGTATTTTTTTTCTATCAACAAATTATTAAGTTTATGATTTTCAGATCATTGGAGCTAAAGAAGTTTCACTTCAGTCGTGTGGTTATAAGCACACTCGCTTTTTTTTAATATAGGTGCTCCAGGGAACTTATATGAGGTTTGTGCAGACTTTATTTGTAAAACACCGGCCAAATGCGAGTCAGACTCGCACACCGAAGGTTCCGTACAAACTTGTAGGTATATTTTAATAATTATTAAAAAATATTTTTATTAAATGATGTAACTATAAATTTACGGGTTTCGCAATTTTTCCTTTATCTGTACTGTAAGACGTTACTTGTTACCAAATTTCACGATTCTAAGTTCACGGGAAGTACCCTGTAGGTTTAGATTCCCGAAGCAATCTTTTGATTGCTTTGGCTTAGAAGTTTGATTTTTTCACTGAGTATTAGATATTAATTTCAGTTTGACATCTCCATGCGTTCCTGAGAAAAACGCTCTTGACAGACGGGCGGACGGACAACAAAGTGATCCTATTAGGGTTCCGTTTTTTCCTATTGAGGTACGGAACCCTAAAAACGAAATGTTATTCAGATAGATAGAATAAAGCTCTAAGAACACTCGAATGATTAAAAAATATATCATTAATGGCTGATTTCTCAAAGACTGGATAAAGCTTTCATCTATCTGATATCGTATTATACGGACAAAATAAAGAGTTGACTTGTTTAATTGGTGTAATATGACGGACGATATCTATTGTACTTGCTGGTACGTATATTCTTAGCTGCATCTACATTTACAAGAAGATGATTTGAATTTCGAATTACAACGTTAACTTCAAGGACAAGCAATATTATAAAATAAAACTAATTTCGAGGGTAGATATCTTTTTTCGTAACTTTTCCGCTAGTCTTCCCTTTACCAAGGTTCAAGCATATTTGGTATACCTACATAAATTTTCACCTTGGCAATTATTGCTACATTTATAACAATAAGTATAAAAAAATCATGGTACTTTTCCTGTAATTTGAAAACATAGCAACTTGCCAGTTGCTATTTTTGGCACTGTCTTACCGTCCTTCAGAAATGACAAATTATTTTAAAACTCCTTAAAGTCATGTGTTATCGCATTCTATTGTTATCGCAGAGAGAGCAACAGTTTAAGCTTTAGTCAAATAAGAAGTTAATTAACGTGCGTCCGTTGCAAGTACAGTAAATCTGTAGTTGTATGAAAAGATTATGCTCCTCAGGCGGGATACCCAAGGCGGGACATCCTTTAGATGATAGATTTAGCTTTCAGGTTGCTGGTAGTCAAGGTTATGACTGATTATCCATCAGTCTTGACTGCCTGTCATCCTGTCATCTATCTGTCCCTGTCATCTAATAAGGTGACTGATGACCTTTTAGTCGCCACTTGTGTCGTTTTTATCACACATGAGAATTTATTTATTTTTACACATGTGCGTGTAATGGACGCCTATTAACAGCCATAGACGTTCTAGTAATTTGAACAAACAGGCTGTTTCAAACAGTTTGATCAAAAAAGAAATACGAAAATTCTTTTCATGTCATTGCAACTCTTTGATCAAATCACTTGAACGTTTATGGCGGCTATAAGAAAAAGCACCGGACTCACCCGAAATTTCCACGACTTGCGCCATACGAGTTTCCGTTCCACGATTTGACTTTACTACGATGAACTGATTCGGAGCAATTTTTAATTCGCCATCTTGCCTCTCTGGGTTGATGCACAACACATCGACCGTGGCGGGGGAAGGGTCCAACCATTCCACCAAAACCCAAAAACGAGTCATTTCCAAACTTTTTAATGTTATAATGACTGTGGTGTGCGGACTGTTCACAGTGGTCCTCTAAACGCAAGTGGCCTCGCTGTTCGCATTTCGAATGAAGGTCAAATGAAAAAATGTGATTCCGGAGAAATGTCTACCCTCATCCTCGATTTTTTTTATACCATACCGTTACCTCAATGGGCATAAAAGGAAATGACCATAGAGTAACCACGGTGAGTAACTTTGTTGGGAACGACGATTCACCCACTGCAGCGTCTCTGAATGATCTGCGTTTTAAGTCCTCTACGCACTATCCATCTTGCTGGATCCAGCATGTGGGACAGCGCTATACACGTAAAAGAGATGGAGATACAGGTTCCCTTTTACGCGTATAGCGCTGTCCCGCATGCTGGATCCAGCAAGATGGATAGTGCGTAGAGGACTTTACGCATTGGGAAGCGTTGCCAGGTTGCCAGTGGGCGAATCGGCTTAAAAACGTGCCAAATTCCATCCAAATCCATTCGACAGTTTGCGTGATTATTTCAAACATACAAACTTTCACGTTTGTAATAGTAGTAGGAATAGTATATATAATTTTGTATGGAAAAAGCTACTTTATTCTTACGCCCAACAAGGGCGCTGTTTAGTTTGACAATGACATTTCGGACTCGCAAACGCCATGAATGATAATGAAAACCAATATCAAAAATTGGTTCGAGCTAAGGGAACTGTCGTAAATTTGCAAGTTATGACAACGCATCGTGCCGCCTTACCGCACCGAGCCGCGTCACCGCACCGTTCCACTTTGACGACGTCGGAACGTGGAGATGTGAACAGCTAATAAGGGATAGTGTATTTGACAGCATTACAAATAATATGCAAACGTCATATCAGGCATATCAATGAGACGCCATATTGTCCAGAGAAACATTTTCGCGTAACTTGAAAATGGTAGTTTTCGTTTCGTTTTTTTGAAACCGATATACGCAACAGAATCATGAATATTCACTTTTTATGGACTCCATACACATACGTAAATAACGTGAGATCGTTTTCTAAAACTTGTCAAATACCCTAGGTAGGGTCAAAGGCGCGAGTGATAGCTTTGGTATCGCAAGCGTCTATTGGCTATGGTGGGTGCTTACCAACAGACAGGCCAAATGCTTGTTTGCCAACCTTTGAAATAAATCCGGCTCGCTTGCTTGCTCGCTCGCAACTTGGCCGTTTTTAAGATTCCGTACCTCAAAAGGAAAAAACGGAACCCTTCTAGGATCACTTTGTTGTCCGTCCGTCCGTCAAGACCGTTTTTCTCAGGAACGCGTGGCGGTAGCAAATACTCATGTCTACTTAACTTTGGAGCTGTGAAAAAGCAAACTTCTAAGCTAAAGCAATCAAAAGATACAGCCGTTTATGCCGCAAATTTTCGAAACTCGTACGGGAATCAAAACCTACAGGGTACTTCCCGTGAACTAAGAATCTTGAAATTTGGTGCAAAGTAACGTCTTATCGTACAGATAAAGGAAAAATTGCGAAAACCGTAAATTTTTTGTTACAAAATATAATAAAAAAATATTTTTGAAAATTTTAATTTTATTTCCTCTTTTCTCATGAACGCGTAGAGGTATTAAATTGAGTTTGTACGGAACCCTCGGTGCACGAGTCCGACTGGAACTTGACCTGTTTTTTTTCTTACAGTAGTTCCTCAGTATATAATATTATATTTTTATGTACGTAAGCACCACAAATTTCTTTAACAGAACGGTAACACTGTACTTTCTGGGCCCAGGAGGTGTGACACCTCCATTCACACTCTTTAAGGTCTGTAATGAAAAAAAATATGTTATCGTCACAGAACTGAAAAATCCTCTGCATATCCTAACCTATCGTGAAGTGTCAATTCGTGGGCCCAGAAAGTATAGTTTAGTATAGAGTCAAAGTATAGTTTAGTATAGGGTCAAAGTATAGTTATAGGGTCCAACCCTAAGTATAAGGTCAAAGGCGCGAGTGATAGCTTTGGTATCGCAAGTTTCTATAGGCTATGGTGGCTGCTAACCATCAGACAAATGCTAGTTTGCCAACCTTTGAAAATAAATTATAAACACTATTTATCTTCTTGCCCTTAATTTTGTTCTTCTCATTGTTTCTCTTCTCGTCGTCCATATTATATGTATGTATGTATTTATTTACCTATTGTCATCAATATCATACATATGTATGTATTTATTCATTACATATGTACTTATACAGGTATTGTATTGATTGTATTGACTGTGTATATAGGTTTATATGTATATATAAACTAAAAATATATGGTTATGTAGTTCCCATATTTATTAGTATTAACATGTATTTATATTCAGGTGTACACGCTGACTACCTTTACATAAATTCTTTCATACTACGGGCCTTTTGGAAGAAATTTCAGATTGAAATAAGTTGTGCCTTTGTACATGTTATCTTTAATTAAGTTGCTCCTGTATTATTTTTTGTGTGTACAGAATATATAAATAAATAAATAAATAAAATAAAACTATAGATACAATGTTGGGAGTCATCTGTCTCAGGGAAGCCAGTCATTCGAAGCTGGCCTTAGTTGGAATCATTACTCTTGTCAAAACTCACTACTGTCAATAAGGATGATGTAGAAGGGCGTAAAAATAAAAATTGCCACAGTTAAGTATATTTGTTTTAATCGCGTAGTCACAAGATGAATAAAAGTTTATTATTATAATATTTTAATTTCATGCATTTAATTGCTAGATGTTTAAACGTAAAGAAAACTTTTGTAGAAAAAACATCCACTCGGTACAGGTTTCAGACGGGATTCGAACCAGCTTCTTCTATTTATACTATAATTGTATTTATAACTGTATGACACAGCAATCAAAATGTGAGTGGACGTTGTATTAGTAACACAGGATTTTTTTGTAAATTTTGCTACTTCTGTTAAATGCTGGTGAGTTTCTTGCGTCCATTCTTCTCATCAGCTTAAAAAATATAGGAATATCTTTAGGACGATTCAAAAGGGCTTCCAAAAAGTTAATTTGAATAAACTATCATTTTATTCCAAATATGCTACTGGGACCTTAATGGCCGTGTCGAATTTCATCTACTATTTGTCAAGCTGCAAGTTTTTTTCTAGGAAAATTTTCTTTACCTTTTTATGCTAATAAAGATAATATAAAAGTAATCAAAAAGGTTATACATTTTAATTTTAAAATAAAGTATTTCCGAATCTCAACTAGTTGTCACTCGGACTAGATACTTCATCGGACTGAACTGGTTCCGATTGCTGACCGCTCTCCGTCTGCTGGGAGCGTCTAACCTCCTGGCGCTTCCTGAACAGCTTGGCTTCATCAGTACACTTGATTGTGATGCAGTTCCTAATAAAAAAAAAACAACAAATTGACAGCATTTAAGGTAGGTTACTTGGGAACGCGGCGGCTGGACAGGTAGAAACAAGAAAGAAATGGCGTTCTTGTCAATAAACTCAATCAAGCTTTGGATTACCTTTTTCGAATGGCATACCAAGAACTTGATTTAGTTCAATGCTTAGAAGCCCAGGTCTACGTTGTCGCGGCAAATACGTCGCTATTCCTGAGCAGTGAAATGTATAGCTTCAGTTCTTATAAACCTTATTGTCAAATCAATATTTTAAATACACACAAGCAACGCCCCCCATAAAGACCTCAATAAACAATAAACAATAAACAATGAAACATAAAATATGAAATATTAAAGGGAAAAAATGGTTTCTCATACAAATCTTATACCCCTCTTTTGAGTTCTTTATTTAAGGATGGTTTCTGGGATAAAACTATCACTTTCCCGGGACTCAAAATATCTGTGTATGAAACTTCATGTACAACGGTTCATCGGTTCAGCGGGGCTATTCTGTAAAATTTTCACGTGTGGATCCGATGCGGGTCCGCGCGCATCTATATGGGAAATGCGCGGTTACACATCGGATCCACACACTTTTGCACTTATTCATTTTAAAATATTACAAGCATCCTCCTCCGACTTCGGTTCGCGTTAAAGTTAGTTTTATGAGAATCTATATTATCTCTAAATCTTTAAATCTGGAGTACTCGAAAAGAGGAAAAGAGTTATTAAGTTGTAACTTCATTAATTAGTTTTGAGATCATTTGTACACTTGATTGTCAAAAAAATATTTGGGCTAAACTGCGGTCCCTAATTTTTTTTTCGGAGTAAAAAGTAAGTATGAAGATTCTTTTTATTCGGGATCCTATGTTTTCGGGTTTCTATCTTATGTCTGAAATTTGGCTCAGATACCTAATAATCTATTTGTGATTAGATTTTCATCCAAATCCGTTTAGCCAAAGAAGGACTTTGACGGCAAGGTCTTTTAAAGGTCAAACAAAATACATAAAATAGACTATACCTAACGAGGCGCTTGGGCACCCCGCATTGTGTGGACACCGTTATCACGATATCCTCCACCAGCCTCGGATCCAAGCACTTCTTTGCTGGCTTGTTGGCGAATGCTGGAGACTGCTTGCCCGTCAGCGAATGAGTTGCCAATACTCTGTGAAAAACAAACAAGCATGAAATATTCCTTTTACTAGGATAATTAAAAAGTTATATATAGTTTTAAACTTTCATGGTCACTAACATTATAGCTATTAACGGGATTGTTACCATGTACCTTGTTTTTTATGAGTCTCCGATATTTCGGCACTGTTGCAAGCGCCATGATCACGGAGTAACTAGTTGCTCTCTTTCCGTGATCATGGTGGTTAATAGCTATAATATAAAGTTATACATAGGTAGTTATCGAACTTTATATAAGGTTAAATGTAAAGAAAGTTCTACTAAGAAAGGTGAACTCGGCCCAGGCTTCAGATAAGGGATCCGTTCGTTTTTCGTCTACTATCAGTACAGCGTGCAAAAGGATAAAAAAATGTATTTGTTGATAAAAAAAACCACCCCTGTTGTATTCCAGTTACTTTTATTTCATGGGCTACTTCTTTTCGAGTTACGCTACGTTTCACACAGAGACGTCAATTTCTAAGCTGGATCTGATTTACAGGATACGGTTTCGTCACAATATCATTTAATTGTAAGTATTAGGTTTACACGTACGTGCATTCGGTTTGAAGATCCGACAAAAAACCGAAACGGGCAATGTATAACATTCGATTTTGCGACTGCAATCAGATTCAGTCACACTGCAATATACCGAATACGATTCAGTGACAATTATAAATCAACATTTTAATACACGCGTTCACACTAGAACATATTTCTACAGGTTGTCCCAAAACTTTGCCACCTGGAGGGGAAGTACCTAAAATTGTGTTGCCCAAATAAGACTTAATTTTTTATTTAAAAAAAAATACGGGGTGCTTTCAAAGAATTTAATAAATCACCCTTTTGAACCTGCTAAATTTGATTATCAAAGTTTTGGGACAACCTTGTATATAATAGTCCCGCCGCCATTTTAAACTTTTTTATCCTGCACAATGTACATAATAGGCTAGTCGACCCTTTTTGGAAAAAGGTTTTAAATAGTTAATAAATGTTCTATTAGACCGAAAAAAAATGTATTGTATTTTTTTGAGACCTAGAAAGCTACAAATCTTTAATTTTAAAATAGACTTTTCATGGACATACAAAAACGCTGTCGGCCATTTTAGTCTATAGATTATCTATATATATCTATGACGTCGACGATAGTAAACAAAAACTCGTAAGCACGTAGAAAATAACCTATCTGAGTTTATAATAAAAAAAACATGATTTCTAATAAATATCACGAAAAATATAGTAATTATCATTATTGTATTGTACGAGAATGTTAAAACACCTCCTTGAAGACTCCAGGAAAGTTGTGGATTAAAGTGCCGAAAGAAATTAACCTACGCAATACCTGGTTAGAACTGCAACTTTATCGACACATAGTAAAAATTATTTTTGCGAAGATTACTTTGATGTAAGTACTCATTGAATAATATTTTAAGTCTCTTCATTTATTATCAGTTTTAATAATACAAGTTTTAAAATTATGTATGAATGACATTTAGTTGTTTACTAAAAGAGACGTCACAATCATGGCGGATGTGGCGAACAGCGTTTTTAGTGTTTAAAAGTATAGACTAAAAATATTTTGTTTAAATTAATTTTCTACAGCTGTCTTCTGCTTTTATGAAGTAAAATCGATATATTTAGGTTCCTTAGACCAAATACTTTAAGAAATAAACATTTATTTAATACAATTCGACATGAGTCAACTAGCCTATTGTATAACACAGCCTATGGGAAGTTTTTTTGATGTGTAACATCTTTCCTCTCGCTTTCCTACAATTTGTGGGAGTGATTTCATGAAATGGGACAGAAGTGTGAAACAGGAAGTAGCGAAAGCGCGCGCTATTTGATTTGATTTTAAAACATAATGTTCAAATGGCTTATTACTTTTGTAGTAGGTTTTATTTCTATTTTTACTTATATAAGGTGAGGTTTTAAATGTTACAAATCATACGCGACTACTGTTAGGCTGTTCGTTTATTTTATATATTTTTTTAAGATAAAACATATGTAGAATTAATGTTAATTTTCAATAGGCTGTTTGGAGTTTCAGTTTATTGTGAAAATAGTTGCGTATTTTTGCACACCCTAATAAAGGTGGTCAAACAAGGAACTTCAGCAGAGCTTGACAAGAAGTGGTTGAATCCATAAAGGGCCATAACTAGAAAACTGACCTATGAAAAACTGGTCTTTGAACGTCGAATCGCAAAGTTGCATGTGGATGTGAAAACCTAATAAAATTTTAATACGCCATGAAGATAGTTGGGAATATCCGTTTGCCGAGTTTTGATGCCTCGCTATCTTGTGGGTTACCTACAATGCGAAGAGATGGCGCTGCCTTGCAGCTGATGAAAGGCTAGAAAAAATTTGACACGGCCGCCGTCAGAGTTATGGTAGCATAATGGTTAGCTCTTTCGTCGATAGCGAAGGCCGCGGGTTCGAGTCCCGTCTGCTGCCTGGTCTGCGTGGATTTTTTTATAGATTAAATGAATAATTTTTCTTTAGATTTAAACATCTAGCAGTAACATGCTTAAAAAAATAACATATATAACTTTATAGCTAGTCATTTTCACTTACAGAATCAAAACTCTAATATTTACTATACTCTATAACTCTAATAATCTACCTTGCGTATTCTTTACGATTTTTTTTATTTCGATCGAACCGCCTTGCAAATGCTTTTAATCTATACCTTTGTCTCACTCTAACACTAGAAGATAAGAGACGAATGATGTAGTTCTAATTTTCACCACCCGCAAGTGGCGCCATTTGCAAATGCACGCCATTTTATTACAAGAAAAAGCTTGCTTCATTACTTAAATTATGTACCTACTGTTCTTTTTTCTCGTAAATGTTCTCGTCTCATAAAACGTTGTATGACATTCGTGCGGATTGCTACTTACAAACTCGTGAATATGGTGAGCCCTCGACTACTCGTTTGTAATAACCAACTTACCGCAGTAATATCCTAAATAAGTATTATCTATAAAAAAAATCATGCTTAAAATACCTGCGCGAAAAAACAGCTTGCAATAGCTGCCTAGTTGCCGTTGTATACGAAGCCCAATTCATTTCATTTAGCAGCCGCGCTGGTACCCAAGCGTACCCATTCCCTATGGATACCTAATAAGACAAAAAACCTTATATACAAAGGAAGTTAAGTAAATATGTTGCGGTTGATATAGGTGGTTATGGGTAGTCATGCTCTCTTAAAAGTCTCTTCGGTGGTGTCGTGTGAGGCGGGTCGTTACGTTCCCTAAAATATGGTTGAGCGAAGCGATGGCTGGTTCATACGTCATGCTCGTGAACGGGTGCTGCCAGCGGAGATGGGTCTGCCCTAACTACTTTGATATTTAAGATGTAAATGTTTAGTTACACCTATTATAGATAATTCTATTTGTACTTATACTGTGTGACACAGCAATCAAAATGCAGGTGAACAATTAATTTATAATTTCACATTACGTAATTAAAGGTGATTTCATGAATCGACTCTGAAGTCATTTTTCAACTTAACGACTCTGTAAATAATTAAACAGAGAGAAAAAACAGCCCTTGCTGAGTTTCTTGGCGGTTCTTCTCAGTACAAGGTCTCCCGCCGTAGATTTACGAACCGATGGCATAGCTTCTAGACATTCATATGTGCTTGTAACAGTCTAAACTGAATAAATTATTTTGATTATAATTGTAGTTAAAAAGTCAAAGCAATATAAATAGGTAATTTATGAAATGAAATAATGATATGGACCCAGATATGGATTGGAACGTACAAGCGCATTCTTACTTTTCGGTTTGTACCATTATTGCCTATAGCATGGATACTAACTAACTAGCAGGGGGCCATTCGCCTAGCGGGATTGCTATGGCTAACGCTAACTTTACAATTTTATTGTTATTTCTGACCGCTGAAAGTTTACAAATGCCCCGCACTCGTTTTTTTTCATTTGTATTGGTAAGAACAATATAAAAGACAATGAGCGTAAGGTATTTGAAAACCTTCGGCGGCCAGAAATAACAAAATTAAATCATAAGCGATAGCGTTACCCATAGCAATTCCGTTAGGCGATTGACCCCCAGGTGCCTGCTTCCGCGACTTCGATTGCCTAGTTCGATTGATTTCCTATGAAAACTTCCATCCTCTTTTTACCTCCTCAAAAGACCTTTTCTGGGATAGAAGTATCATGACGTCAAATAAAACAAATTCAACGGTATAGATACACTAATTTATTTGTTTTTTGACGTTTCGCAACCTTTTCAGGTCGTCAGAATTATGATTTTTACTTACTTTGTCGAGCTAACTTCGAAAGACTTTCATTGAGCGTTCGGTAGTATATATTGGAAGATTTAAAAAAAATGTCTAATTATGAAATTCTTAGCTAATTTAATTAATAAAGTACTTCATCAAATTCTTTTTTAATTTTGAGTTTATTTATTTGACCCCTTCTACCAGTAAACTACGACCAGTTCTAAAATTGGGTGACCTTTCTGAGAAGAACTGGCGCAACAAACTAAGGCCCGTATTACAAAAAGATTCTCAGTAATGAATCTAGTCTTGAGTATAGTTAGAAAGAGATGGCGTTATATATAGCACATAGCGGCATCCCTTTCTAACTGTACTCAAGTAAAGATCAACACTTAGTTGCCATTCTGTAATACGGACCTCAGAGTGGCTGAGGCTTTTTGTATCCTTCTTATATTAAATCATGCAAACAAATAAAACTAAAAGTATCTAGTTACTACTAGTTGGTCTTGCAGTGTGTGTTCGGGGTTGGGATTGTATCTGTTGTATAATGGGTTCACAAGCTGGTGGTATATACCAACCATCTTCCCTATTGAAATTGGGATGTTTCTTAATCTCAATAGTTTCGCGTATCATCCTAGGAATGAATCGTTGTTCAGTTGCAAGGATCTGTTGTTTGTCAAATCTAATGTAATGGTTTGGTCCCCCTTGGCATGTTCACACTGCAGACTTATTTTCTATACGGTTGAAACTTGTTTTATGAGTGATGTGCATGAAAACCTAAGAAACAAATATATGATAATGTCTTTCCCGGGGCTCAAACTATATTTATTACAAATTTCATCTTAATCGGTTCAGAGGTTTAAGCGTGAAGAGATAAAAGAAAGACACATATTTGCCGTTTGCATTATAATATTAATATAGGTGGATTAGTATGGATATCGGATATCCGTTTGATGACCAAGGTTACCTTAATAAAATGAATGTCACTCACCATATCTGGTGTGTTTTTATTAGGAGTCTCAAGAGTCGGATTCGATGGAGGTGAGTTTTCTTGATTGTTGGCAGAATTTTCTGCTTGCTCAGCATTTGCGTTGCTCATGCCCTGTAATGTTTCTTTTATTTTATTGTTTTTCTTCTGTACATTACTGTCATTAACAGTACTATTATCATTTACGTTGTTGATATCATTATCAAATGATGCGTCGTTTTCATTATTTATATCATTCCTATTAGATTCTTCTTTAATATCTTCTCCATCAGTCTTAATGCCTATTGCTCGACATAAATAAGGATAGTCAATCATCATTTCATCTATTTCTACTGCGTCTCCAATCAATGTAACAAAATTTCTGTATATTTGTTTTATCAATCTATTTCCTTCCGTGCGCAGATATTCCATGGCAGGATTTTTTTCTGGTTCAGTTTGAATACCTTGGTCTTTAGTAGATTTTCTTTCGCATTGATGGCTACAACAACGGGTCTTATCATGACGTTGAACATTGCTATTGTCTGTAGCCGAAAGATGTCTATTTTGTGATAACTGATTTTGTACATGTCTGCTCTTATCGTTTTTCTGCATTTGCATATTCTGAAATCAGGATATAATATATTACATGGATTGACTTATTCTAACATCCCAAGTATAAGAAAAAAAATGTAAATTATGATAATTATGAAATGTTACCTCTTCTTTTGCTTGTGGAACAGGTCCGTTAGAACTTGTACTGCTCTGCTGCTCAGAGCCGGCCGATCGAAATTGCTAGAAACAAAATAGCATTAATAAAGTCAATGCACTAATCTGTCAATACGAAATTACATCCCTAATAAGTAGTGAAGAGTTTGAAAATTTAATCAATATTTACAAGAGACCAATCATAATATAAAAAAATTGAATAAACTGATAACCAAAATAGTCAGGCTGTTTTAAACTACCGAGATTATCCAAATGAATTATTGGCATATATGATAGTGGTTTATATTGCTTGAGTGGTTTTCAAAATCTGTTTTTTTAAATGTGTATACAAGGCGCAGTAGATTTTTCCACGTCACTGAATGATAGTGGCACAGCAGAAAATTTGTCGCTCAAGCCATCTTCACCTGGCCGACTTGTAGAGTTCTCTACCCCATGGAAATTATGGCATAAGTACACTATATCATACTCAAAGAGGTGAAAAATGTCCATCATGTTTCTAATTAATTATTTATATAACATATTTAAAACTGGCTTATGTTTTGATGTATTTAAGAACGAATTATTACATGTTAAAACCTAAAGATTTTTTAAGCCGTTAGCAGTAATAGTTTTTGGCAGTTAAATTATTAATAAAATAAAATATAATTATTACATGATGCTCGGAATCCATGCAGGCACACATGCGCGGTTGATTTGGCAAACTCAGGTATTCTTCCACGAGAAAATCCCTTTGTTCCAGCAAATTCTCTACGATGCCTGAAATAGTAAAGATGTTTAAAAATATAAGAACATTTTATAGGAATTTCATTTCAAAACATTATCAATTCTCTTTTGTCATTGTCGCTATTGTGTTTGAACACCTATTCCAACCACCAATTCCACTCGTTGAGTTTCCAGTACATATTGAGATAGTATATGAATAGACTGCTCAACTTTCGAAGAAATTGACGACCGGTCGGCAGTAATTAATTTTTAATGTACAAAACAATTTAGATAAGATAAGGTACTTTGGGAATAGGCATCATTCCACTGAAATTCTTTACTGCCATGAGTTCCAAAAAATCCAAGCCAAACAACGGCATATTTATTTGAAGAACTGTCTACAAGAAGAGCTTTGGCCGGTGGTTCCAAGATGCGCTACCGGACTACACTGCTCGTCACACGTCACCGTTAATACGTATATAAGAGAACTACATATTTTTTGGCATTCTTGAAATACCGGAATTCCATGGTGAGTATGCTGGGCGTACGTACACGTCAATATGCGTTGATGAGGTTTTCACTAACATACGAGTTTTATTTACTAATATCAATAATTATAATGTTCGATTTACATATGCTAGACTTTATGGTATTTATTTATTTACCTAGATTACCTGGTTGTTAATAAACAAGTAAAATAAAAGCAATAATAATTATGGCGTGGTATTTTTTTATTAATATTCATCACTAATAATGGCTTATATTAAAAAAAGTAAATTTAAAAAAATAAAAAAACCCGATTGCTTTGTATTACTACAAATAAAAACTGAAAAGAAAAAACACAAGTCCATAGTCCATGTCCATAATTCTGTTAAGTAAGGGGGACAAAGCTACTTTAACAGTCGAGGCCCATTATTGAAAAACTAACTACCAGCCTAGTAGGTATTACAAACGGAACAATCATAGCATTTATTTTTCAAAAAAAATTTCTAGCTAAACAAAATAAGAATAAGTATGTATAAATTAACGAATAACGAATCAATGTTTACCAAAAATGCTATGGAACTATTAGAAATATAATCAAATACAACCTATTACTTAGTTTATTTTTAAATCTTTTCCGTCAATTAAACGTTATTACACTAACTATCTATACTAATATTATAAATTGGCAAGAGTTGTATGTTTGTAACAAATAATCTTTCAAACTCCTGAACCGATTTCGAATATTCATTAACAATAAGATAGCTTTATTATTTATTATTATATTTCAGCGTTAATCTCAATATCGTTGATTAATCTGCTCGATTTATAAATTTAAATAAATTCACTCTGGCAAATTTTCAGAGAGGAAATTTTCCAGTTATAAATTTCTTTACACTTAACTACATTATATTATTATCCAAGTGACATAGACTAATTTTAATCCCGTTAAAATATATAATATTGTAGATATGCGAAAGGGAATTTGTTTGTTACACTTCCGCGCCCTTATAGCTAAATCGATTATGATGAATTTCCCTATAGAAATAGATGGGACCTTGGTTCTAAGTTACATTATCGAAATACTTATAGGGGTAATGGAAGGGGTGATTTACCTATAAAATTTTATACTATTACTTAGAATTTTGCAGAATTATCGTTTATAATTACAAAACCAATATTATCGCGAGCTGATTAATAAATACAGAAAGTCAAGTGTTTACCTACTAGCCATAATAATAGGTTATATCTCATTATGTTAAGTAACCTTTTAGTAACATGAAGGAATATTGATGAAATAAACTTTAAAAGCTGTATAATTCTGAGTATTTCATTAAATTTCAATAATCATAAATACCTATTATTATAATTTATTATCATCATTTTATAAGAAGGAACTGTATCACAGTTTTATTGTAAGTACTTCGTATAGGATTAGATACCGCGATATGCATTTTTTTTTCTTTTCCTCCTAGGTTTTATCTACGTTTATGAACACAAAAATTCATCAAATCAAAAAACTTTTATTGTTTTTGCAGTGCAGGCCAAAATGGCTCGCAGATGGGAGATTTTGCCGTCTTACGTGACCCTTTGTTATATTTTGGCCAATTCACTCAATAACTACATAAATTATTATCTATATGTTAATATAATGTATGAGCTATATTATTGTTGTTTCTTTAATACATTAAGTATTTTTTGAGTGAAAGAGTAACAAAGATCCATACAAACGCAAGATTGAATTTTGTTTGTTTATTGGGAGGAATCTATGTGATAGATTTTGATTTCGTTTTCAATAGAAAACTATATTATTTCAGAGTGTCATTAGGCATAATGCTTATTATCGTGTTAAAATAAAATTCACACATGCTAAGACGAGGCGGTGCAGAGGGCGCTGTTAAATATATAAAGACATTGGAAAACAAAATTGCTTATACACCACTTCGGTGCTGCTTTAACATGGATTTTATATCACTATTATTTTATGTTAATTTTTAAGCAGCACCAAAGTGGCGTATTAGCAATTTTGCTTTTCCATCGTCGATAAATTCTTTAATGGGCGATAAACTTCTAACGAAATATTATTATATCCTAATGAGCGTTAAAAGCAATTAGTGGCTGTGCTGTATCCAATTACTTATTATCTTTAATTACTTTTAAACTGCATATTTGTTAAGACAGTTTTAATGATAACTTTTATTATTAGTTTAATAATAACAAAGACAACTTTCAATGATTAAGTATACAAGCTATACTATATCTTTTCATAGAAACCGCAACAATAAAATTGCAATTGCATTGTATTCCTGAAGTAATACTTATAGTTTTCAGAGCTGCACCAGCTATGCTGTTCCGTAAGACATGCTAACTTTTCACCGTATAATTCATCGAGGAAATTTAAAACTTATTAGTAATTCTTGTTTTAATTTTCATATACATTTTGTTTTGATATTCAATACGTGTTCAAGGTAAAAAGTGACTATGTTCTAACGAAATAACACGGCAGTTAGGGAATAGCTCACGTTAGGCTTCGAGCGATTGATAAAGACCATAAATGGTATCGCCAATAAAAAACCCCACATTGCCAGATGCTAAGTGAAAGTGAAGTCTACTAGTGCGATAGAATGTGAGTCATTTTAACCGGCCTTAACTCAATCCCCTACCCCGTAGGACTCTGGCACCTTACTCGCTAGAAGCTACATCCTTACTAAAACGTGGTGTTTTTTTACTACGGTATTCTGTAAGGTGAAGGTTACTTTCCCTTGAAATGGCAAAATTTATATAATATTTTATGTTCATTAAAGCACCCAATTGCTACTTTTAAATATTCGTCAATATTCCTGTGAATGGCGTAGGATTGTTAAAATAAGAAAATACAGAAATGGTAAACTAATACTGACGGCTCACAAATTTGTTTGTCTGTTACGCTTTCTCATATAACAAAAACACAAACAGTATGTTTTGTAATTTTATTGCAAATACCCTATTCCTTGCTTCAAATCTTTTGTATTATCTTCCATCACGTGACTTTCAACTGTTATTGTCTTTGAAATCATCCGTTTTGTTAGAGACATTACCAGTTTTTTTTATTTGAAAGCAATTCTGGGACCATTTTAGCAGGTAACCGAAGTAAAACTTGTTCATGCAAAAAAAGTATTCTAAATTTCTGGGTCCATTTTTGTACACACTTTGACAAGAATTAATTTCAAAACGTCACTATATACTTATTTGTGTAGATACGACTAATATCCAAAAGTATCCACCAAATTACTACTACGTTAATTATTACTAAATTACAACAATTAAAAGAAATACGTAGTAGATACCCCAAATTAACCAGTTTTTTGTGATTATCTAGATATATACTTTGAAGAAGTTACTGCTCGACATTATGTATAGGTAATGTGAAAAAAAAACAATAATTTTACTTACCAGATATGTGTAAAATGCATCCGTGCCGCGGCTTGTAATCGCCTCTTCTCAAAATTAATATAACATTTCCAACTCTGACGCTGCCCAAATTATATTTTTCCGGGTTTATACACACTATTTCGTATGGGTCAAACCTTCTACTTTTTTTAACCCACTCCACTAATAAAAACAATTTAAACATCCTTGATGCAAGATAAACTTTGTGCACGTCTGTCCTCCGCTGTGGCGAAATTCTAAATGGTGGTGTATTTACCCTAACTGCAAACGCAGGTAATTTTTTTGTTCAATGGTAGTGGCCGATTATGCGCACAGTGCAATAGATATCAGCAATACATCTAGGCTCGACAGAACATATATACAGAATGACAACTATAAGTGTTGATCTTTATTTGAGTACAGTTAGAAAGGGATGTCGCTATGTGCTATATATATATACATATAGCGACATCCCTTTCTATCTATGCTCAAGACTAGATTAATTACTGACAATCTTTCTATAAAACGGGCCTAAGTGTGATATGCTATACTTGTTATATCACTGTTAAATATTTCTATAGTAATGAAAACGATTATTACAACATTATGAATTAGTAAATGGGTAATCATTAAAACGTTTTTAATTATACTTTTACTTAATTTCTGCTACAATAAAACAAAGCAGTAGAATGATGGTCAACATTTCAAAAATATCGTAGTTATCATACAGCGATTACTTTAGCAAAATACTATTTTTTTATCAAAACAAATAATGCCTGAAAGATAATTAAATGATCTTGTAACAACTGCTGTAATAAAATTGCTAGTTCAGTACATGGACGTATAAAAAGGCCTTTTTTACAAGTCCATGGTTCAGCAACAGTTTTAAAAGAACAATTGTGTGGATCATTCTTTTTCTTATTTTTTTTATTTTTTTTTTATAATTATTCCTTTTTCGTTTGTTTTTGTTAATGTAATGTTGTTTATAACAGAAATAAATAAATTTATTTATGTGGTTGTTATACTGACATAATCACAATTTAGATAGACTTTTTATTGCCTACGACGACAATTGAACACCCGAAGAAGAATAGTTACGATTTCTTTTGTGTTCTGGCAGATGCTTGGAGAATATTGTTTTGGAATTAATATTGACGTATTGTTTGTTTTTTACCACAAATGGAAGAAGTAAGATGGCCGAAATTTTATTGTTGAATATTGTTTTATTAAATGATGCTATTTGTATGCTTGTTTTTTAACTTTTATGTTATATTGATACCAAATTAGATTTTTCACAAAATAAAAGTATTTTTAAAGGTATGTTCAAAGATTTTAAGAGTTCTGTGCTCTCAACTTCTGGGGTTTACACCCATATTCTTATTCGCGTCCTCAAACGTTCCTCGACTCTAACTCATTCGAGGGCTCCTTAAGGAGTTCCTCCAAATAACCTCGAAAATGATATTCTAGTTGGTATCTTGAACAAACTTGAGAATTCCTCCACTGAGAGTACAAACAAAGGTATAAAGCATAAAAGCATGGACATATTAAAACTTCAAAGCCACCAGTAATTGTATTAAAGGCGGTACAGGTAGTCCTCTGTTATTACAATTAAGTGTAATGCTTTGCAGAGGAAATATTACTTGTATGACTGTATCTCTCTAAACCGAAATCATCTTTGAAACGAATCATTGTCGTAAACCTCAAAAGGATTTGCGGCGTCACGTAAATACCGTCGCGCCGGATAATATGGTTCATCATCGTAAAAGTAATTTAATCCATAAAATCCACCAATTCGTCAATAATCTCAAAATCAGACATAATTCTCGATAAAAACAACTTGAAAACACCTTAAACAGCACTCGAGGAAGCCTTAAGGTACGTCGAGAGCTACCTTGAGTTTGACAGTTTATTCCTCGACTCGACCTCCACTGTGACACTGAGTGAGGAATATCTCAAGTGAAGAATATTTTTGTTGTCTAAGCATACGAATTTCCTCGAATGAGGTTGAGTCGAGTGGAAAAATCCTCGAGGAAACGACTAAGAATATAGGTGTTAGTCTCCGCTAAACCTATTTATAAAGCGTTTCCAGGCGTCCCGATTCGAGAGGAACGTTCCCATTTTCAGCTCAAAATATTTTTTTCCTACTGGCTCTGTCTCAATTTTCGGGAATTATTCTACGGCGAAGGTGTAGTAAAATGAAAACGTACGTAGGTATATTCTGGACAACTCTTAGCAAGCAACAAAAACAATGAGTTATTCCCAAACTGAGCACAACTTGTAGCACGAAAACTAAATAAATAATGTACATACATATATCGAATAAAAAAACTCGATGGCGCGGGTGCTCAGCACGTTCGCAATGGCCGGTCAAGGGATGGGTGACCAAAAATTATTATCACGAGCTCCTTCGTTAAGGCATTGGTTATTAAGACGACCTCTGGCTGACGCCGAGTGGTTAGTACGCCGTGGTTTTAGAAGTCGCCTACTCTGACGTCCTGGGTTCGATACCCGGTGGAGCAAATGTTAATATGCTCAATATGAGCATTCGTAAGTGTTTACATTAGGTGTAGGAATATAAAGTATTTTTTTTGTTAAATATATTTAATTAATCATAGCATGGACCATTATTACCTATGCACTTTTGCCATCTAATAGGTAGTTCATTGATCCCTTTACTAAAAAACCATGGGGGACGAGAATCAATATTTTTTTTCCTTTTGAATTTTTTCCTTGTAAAAAGTTGTCCAGCAAGGTCCGGGGACCGGGGAGTACGGTGGATGTCGCAGACATTCCAATTATAGCTCATCTAACTTAGTGGTTGTTTGTTGTGCAGTGTGTGGTCTTGCGTTGTCGTGAAGCAGGAGTGGCCTAGAGCGATTGACCAATCTCGGTTGTTTAGCTGCTGCTTCTTCCTTCATAGTTTGCAGTTGCTGACAATAGATATCTGCCGGAATCGTTCGGCCAGATTTAAGAAAGCTGCAGTAAACGACACCGACGCTAGTCCACCAAACACTCACAAGTAACTTTTTCTGAGTCAATTTTTTTTGAGAGCAGTTTATCTGGGTCTAAAGGGTTCAGCCATTGGACGAGCGCTTCCGATTATCGTACAGTATCCACTTTTCTTCACAAGTAATGATTCGATTTAAAATCCTTTCATTATTGTATCGGTTGAGTAAAGTAACACAGTAGTCGATGCGTGTTTGCAAGTTCGATTCACCTAATTCATGAGGTACCCATCGTTCAAGTTTTTTGACTTTCCCGATTTGGTTCAAGTGGATTAATAATACACTTTTGTCACTTACCCCGAAGCCTGCAGTTATCTTTGAAGTGCTTTGTGATGGATCCCCTTCCACAATAGCCTTTAATTCTTCATTTTCCACATTGATCTTCGGCCGTCTACGGGGTTGATACTGAAGGTCGAAATTTCCAGAACGAAAACGTTGAAACCAAAAACGTACCGTGATCTTTTTTGCGACACCAGCGCCGTACACATCATTAATCCTCCGAACTGTTTCTGCAGCACTGGTGCCACGGTAGAACTCGTACTCGTAATTATACCGATATTTCATGTTTTGCACTGTGCTGTAGTAAGCGACGCCAAGGAAAAAAATAATGAGGAAAACAAACAAATGAATGACTGCTTTCAAAACTTAAATGTACCATCTAAATGAATTTATAAATTTAAAATTGAAATTCTTAACCAAAGAGTCAGTACGACAAAACACTAATTTCATATGTAAGGACCTAATATATATATGTATATTTTTTTTGTTAAATATATTTAATTAATCATAGTATGGTCCATTATTACCTATTTGATGTCCTCCGTGGTCGAGTGGTTTGTACGCCGGGTTTCATGGCGTCGCCGACTCGAGAGGTCCCGGGTTCGAATCCGGTGGGGGCAGATGTTTGATGAACACGAGCATTTGTACTCCAGTCATGGATGTTTAAATATCTATTTCTATATAAATATAGTTATATATGTAAAGTATATGTATTCTATCCGTTACCCTAGTATCCCATAACACAAGCCTGCTTACTTTGGGGCTAGGCTAATTGGTGTGTGTATAAAAATAATAATATATATATATATATATATATATATATATATATATATAGTCTAGCTAAATAGATTACCCTTTTATCCCATAACATAACAGTAGGCTTATTTTATAGTAATTTATGTTTTTACCACGTACCTTTTTTAGCTAGTTTCTGATATTTCGGCACTGTTGCAAGCGCCATGATTGCGGAGTTACTGAGTTACTAACTGGTACATGGTAACAAACTCAATATCCAATGAATAACATAAATTACTATAATGTTAGGGGCCGTTCATAAAATACGTTCGCATACAAGGGGGGGGGGGTCTTGCTAAGTGTGACAAGATGTGACAAGGGGGGACGGGGGGTCTACGGCAACGTGACGTACGTCGTTCATTAATTTTTTTTAAATTAGTATTTCTTTCAACTATTTTTCTTAAAGAAATTTGAAATTAACATCCAAAACGGACAAGAAAAGACGAAGTAGTTCGACGTGTACAACCAACTCGCATCGCAGCTCGACGAGCTCGAGAGCTGTTATGCATATTAGTTACGATTTTCATTCGCATTGGTCGGTCTGTAGAGGAAGTAAGTGCGACCATAGAAAAAATATTGTAAATATCACTTTTCGGCACTAAAGGTCTTTACTCATAACTGATGTATAATTATGTAATATACCTGTAAACGACTGTTTGCTGCCAAAATAAAGAGAAAAAAAAATAGGAGATGAAAAAGCTGGTACAGAAAATTCAGAATGGATAGATAACGATGAAGTGGACGGTAGTTTTGAAAATGAAGAAGAAGATGTTGCAATACCGATTATAGATATTTCAGCGCATTTACAGAATCCTTGGACTTCTGATTAATAGAAATATGATTTATTTATTTGTTATGTAAAGATATTTATTTATATATTTAAATTTTATTATAAAAACTAAATAAATATTCAAATTCTTAAAATTTGTGTACTATCAATTGAAATTAATCATACTTGGGGGGGGGGGGTGGGGTTACGTATTTTATGAACGGCCGCTTAGTGACCTTAAAAGTTTAAAACTGTAGCTTATAGTGCTTACTTTGGGGTTAAGAAATATTTATTTATTATTCATTGATTCCGGCTGTACCTGTAGTCGTTAGCACCTACGAATCCACATTGAGCTCATTCTTATTATGTCCTCCACTAGAAAGGCGTGTGCGGCCTGTGGCCCAGCATAAGGTATATTAATAAGTGGATAATGATGACTCAAGAACAATAATTAAAAACATTATTCATATTAAAGTCCTAACCGAGATCAGAACCTAAGACCAGTAGGCCTTGTGCTGAAAAGCATCGATTTATATGAAATTTTCTCATTATTTATGTTATGGGCTAAGTGATTAATCGGGTATTACTCATAATGCCCGGGCAATATGAGAAAGAATACTTAGTTGGATAGACCGAGCATTACAAGTTATGAAATCAATTATCGGGTAGAGTAATAATAAAAACATGTTTTATAGTTTAGTATTTATTTTGAAAATTTAAATAATCACTCTTCGGTTTTACTTCGATCAATTTACGAAAGGCTACATTTAGAAACTATAGTCTATAGCAGTTTCAATGCAGTTTGTTTGAAAAATTCATTAAATCTGTTAAATGTTCAGAATTTATGGTTCCCTATTTTTTAGGATGCAAGGACTAGGGAAGTAAGAACTAGTTCTGTCTTATCTCCGGCGCTGCGAGAATAGCAGCCCCTCCTCCTTTGCGTGACAAAGTCACAAGCATCACTCCCCTTCACACCTTCGCCTTGTTAGTTAGCCTCAGGCGCTATGGGTCGCACGATTCTTGCGGCTTTATCACAGCAGGCGGGGCTGCTCTCCCTCCGCGCCTCCGGGCTCTAAAAAACACTCTAGGGGTAGGGCAGACCAAGACCACAGCGTGTCGGGGTTGACCAAGTCGGTTCTGAATTAAGGACTGTTGGAAAGCCACATTTACCTTTTTTTCTAAGTGTTGAGCCGGCTGGCGGCTCGGCTATCAAATAAAACATCAACATATAATTCATCACAATATATTTATTTCAAAATAATAATAAACTATTCAGTTTTAGTAAAACATAGTAGGTAACTGCATTAACTTAAAATAAAATTATTATTAAATAAAAATAATCATCATAGTTTTTATATTAAAACAACATCTCGTAACAGAATACAAAAACTTGTCGAAATAATTTACAAGTTATTGGTCAAATGTTTTATAATAATCAATTATTACAATACAATCCATGAAGTATAAAATTATTATGTAAACTAGGTATGTCTAGTCACAACTAAATATTTATTATATCGTCGTAGATAAACATTAAAGCGTTCATATTTTTTATAAATAGTTTTCTTCGGCAATACTAAGACGTTGCGTTGCCGCGTAGATATGACTATTGAATTGAATATTAACAAAAGTACAAACAAAATATTTTGACAAATTATTTTCAGAAACAATAAATCAGAAATATATATAGACAGACAATGAAATTAAGTTGAGTAATTAGAATTTATTTTTGAAAATTGTAGTATAAATAAGTAAAACTAAAGTATACACAAGGATAGTAAAGAATATTGATTGTCATCACTCAATCAATCATTACGTAGTAACGTACGTAGTAGTAATGAGGGTCACATACCCTCATTTTAACAAATATCTTCTCCTAACAAAAACATATAAATGCATTAGTTTCAGTAACTATAGCTTATTTTTTGTTCCAATGAGTCATAGTTGTAATCCAATTCAAATAACGCCATACTTTAATCGACATAATAATAAAAAATGTTTAATATTAGCTAGATAAGGTGTCCACTACGATAATTATCCAATAAAACTTATTTATATAATTCTTTACATATTTAAAAGAAATTCTTAAATTTAATATACATTACGTAAATTGTATAAAATAAAATAAAAAACAAGAAAAAATAAATGATTTTAGTTAATAAAGACTATCCATATCCTTCATAAACTCATTGATATTTGTTATCAAAGTTTTGTGTCGTTCATATATATTCATAAACTTAGAGATTGAGTTTTGACATTTGCGAAACTTATCAGCCACAATGTCGAGTTCCTTCAGGTCGATGGCGCGTATAAATTCAAATAAGTTGAAAAAGGATTCGTATTCAATTCGGGGTACCGTCCCAACCTCTGCTGCTGGTGGATTTGATGGACCAGGGTTTGGTGCGGAGCCAGAAGCCATTTCCACAATTTCCAAAGTGGTAACGGCAGTGTTTTGCAGAGCTGAACCAGAAGGTTCCAGAGCGAGAGCGGTAACAACCGGCGCGGGCTCCAGATATAGATCCGGAGGGGCGTAATAAGGCGAAGGAGTAGGCAACATGTTATCTGGGAACCCGCAATGATATTCCTCATGACCCAATTGGCAGCATCGTACACACATTTCACTATTCGGTTTTTCAACAGACACTTCGTGACCGATAACAGTTTTCACATTGAAAATAGCATGGCCTTCAGGTGTGTCTTCGACGATCGCCATCACTATGCTAAAAGGATGTCTATTATTCCGCAAAACACGGAAAACCTCGCACACGGGAACACCCTGATGCACGAGATCTGTGTGATACAATTCCAGGTCATATTCTATAGGAACAGGACGAATAAAAACGTTGATGAATGAATTCACATCATTGGGATGGTAGGTTCGGAATCGCGTACCACTTCTCCTGAGAGACGATGATAAACGAAGAAAGTCATTCGGCGAGCTAACAGAGATCTTTAGTCCCAGCGTGCAGACTTCGATGCGTGTTACATTCAAAAACCTGTCATTGAGAATACGATCGAGGCAAGGCCAGACAGAAAGATCGAGAATGTACACTGGTGGCGGCCACGTTGATGAAACTTCCATCTCTTTATGTGTTGAGCGCAATAAAGTTGAAAAATGTCTCTTAAATATCTTAACCGTTGAGCGCGGTATACAAGAGGCGGTCTTTGTAAATTTCTATCTGTAAGCTGTTAATTCAAATTTGCTCAGGTCACTTGAAAAACACCGTCACAACTTGTAAAAGTGCACACACGCTCCAAGTACCACTAGTAAAAGTCAAAGTGCAAATTTAAAACAATCCCGACACAGCACGATTAAAATATAAAATAAAATTAATACCAAGTAAACTAAATTGAGCTCCTCCAGACTCCAGAGTATGATCTAATCATAAAGAATTCTGACGCAGCTTATATTTTACGTACACATACCCTCATTTTTTTATTCTTCGTTGGAATGCCTCGTAACAACGATAAAAATAACTTATTTAATCTGTGTGTTTAAAAATATCATGTTGCAAAATTAAGTTCTTTAAAAAAAAGCATTTTCTATTGAATCTTTTCAACAACTTTTGTACGGAGGAGTTAAAATATCTATTATGGAAAAAAAGTCCATACAGTGAGCCTGATTGATTCTGGCATGATGACCATGCTTTTTACAGAATGTAAAGGAGATATTTTGGTCACGTTTAGTTTTAAGTTATGAGAATAATGCCAGTACAGAGTG